CCCTGGCGCTGTCCCCGCAGGTTCCCCCCATGAGCGCGCTGGTGGTGCCGGCTGACATGGACGTGCTGGGCCCGCCGCCGGCGCTCTCCTCGTCACCGCTGCTGGGCGCCGAGTTCCTCTCGGAGCTGCAGTGCGCGCCGTGGCGGCCGCCGCCCGCCTGCGCGCCCTCGGCCGCCGCCGCCGCCGCTGCCGCTGCCGCCGTGGACGCGCTGACGGACCAAATGGCACGGCTGACGCGCGCCGCGCCGCGCCCCATCCTGGCCTCCCAGCACCGCGAGCGGCGGCGCTGCAAGAAACGGGTGGCGTTCGCCGACGACAAGGGTCTGGCGCTGGTTCAGGTGAGCGGCTGGGGTCCTAAAGGAGACGGAGATAGTGTGGGAGACGGGCGCCGGCTTCAGATAGCTAAAAGAGCTCGTTTGACGTTTCGTCCTTAGAAGGTTATGTGCGCGAGTAATTATTTACAGATAACGTGTAGTTTTTTTCCTACGTTCACGTCTTGCGTTCCTTTTAGGTCATCGAGCGCGCCGACGAAGAATTCGTGAACGAGAATTCCCCGGTACGTGAGCCTCTGTGACTCCCTGGGCCGCTCCATGCATTAATCATTATTTAATCGAAAACCTCCGCTTCATACATAACTTGGTTGGGCTGCGCTTTGCATTGCACAATAATGCTGTTTGTCGAGCATGGCAGTGAGATGAATTCATATCATCTGCATTCGTAGGTACATCCTGAGCGATTGCCGACTTTCACCGTTCGTGATTTATCAAACGGTAGCGTGAAACAAAAAGCAAAAAGTAGGTTTAGCCATTCATATTGTGAAGTGTGAAATAATTAAGTAAGCGATTCTATGATGTTATTATGCAGGATGCTGAATAAAAATTAATTAATGTTCGTTTTTTGACAGTTCGACACCGAACACGCGATAGAAAACGGGCCCAGTTAAAAGAAGCGTTGTTATAAAGTTTATGTGAATAAATGCGAGGTGAAGAAATGATCGTACACACTACACAGGAGGTGGGACTTCACTGGCATTTTGAGTTGTCAATTTCGTTTCAAAAGTAGACTGGGCCGATCACATAATAGAGCTATTGGTGTCGATTATACACCACTGGTGGAGCGTTTTCGTGGCCCGGAGGCTGAGCTCGCCGCCGGCTCGGTCGATTGGACGGCTGCGGCGCCGGTGCCGAGCTCTGTGACGCTCCGTCCAAATTGCCGGTCTGCCCGGCCGCAGAGGCCCTGGCCTTCGCTAGAGGTCGAGCACCACCGAGCCTCGGGGCTGCAATTACCGACGGACGCGGCGCAGTAGAGCCATGGACTCGAGAAGCTGCAGGAGCCGATCAGATGTGGGCGCTGAGGGGAGGTGATCCGTCTATCGGTGCCTCCCAGATTCCCCAGGCGCAGGCATCTTTTTTCCCGGTGGCTATACCGGTTTCCGGGTGGCTAGACGAAGTACTCGTATGACAGCGTTGCTGACCTGGCTACTCTCGCCTACGTCAGCTGTCTCATTTGGAGTTAACAATTGTAAAAAGATTGCAGCGTTTTTAAGGTGACCGGCATACAGATATAAGTAGGTATTCTCGAGTCCTTTTGAGAGTACTCTCGAGTTGTTATGAGCCGAGGTTCAATCAACGTCACGGGGACGTTCAAGCTTCGAGAGCAAGTTGGACCGATTAGTTTATTAAACAATCTCGGCAGGGCTGCACGGCTGCGCCTGGCACCGTCCGGCGCTCGGGCGGTCTCAGCACATGCCTTCGGTGTTGTGCTCGTATCGTGTTGATCGGGACCTAGCCGTCAGCAGCCACGTGCAGGGGTGATGTCTGCAGTTGATAGGGGAATGGGTCGTCCCTGAGGACCGGATGCCCGAAAATAGATGCTTGTTGATAACCGAGACGAACTTCCTCTGGCCCACTTTCGCTTCATGGCTCACAAAATATATCTACAGGCGTCGTACACATCAGCCTTGCATTAATTTGATTTTCTTGTAGACTTTATTTCAGGGATTGATGAATCATCGAAAGTTACTATGTACTTTACCAGACTGTGAATTCATTGCCAAATTAACAACAACAACAACAAAAACAGTACATGGGAATGCTTCTTATCTTATTGGACCCGGTTGGCAGCATGACATTATTTATATTATAATCACTTCGAATGCCGAAGATGTTTGATGCACGTCTGCTGGGAGCATGCTTGTTTGTTTTCCTTCGGGTGCTGACGAATATTTGAGGCCCCTGCTTCTGTTGGTTCCTGGAACCAGCTGTTTTGAACTGTTTTTCCATGCCGAGGTATACTTTGGCACGTTTCTGTTGCTATCTCGTACGGAATTTAGCCCAGACGCCGCCGTTGGCCGACCCTGACCTTGGCGACGGGGCCTGCTGCCGCGGTCAGCGCCACGGCGGCGACCTCCGGTGCCCTCTGCCAATCGGCTCACCCACGCAGGCCCCACAGTGAGCCAGCCTCCCTTCCGCGGCCTATCCATCCGCTTCCAACAGGCCAGTCGGCCGCTCCCCGAGATAGAGGCCCAGTAGTCAGTGCGACTGACCCGACTGCCAACAGTTCACCCAGGTCGGCCTCACTGCAGACACAGTAGGAACCTCCCTCCCTCCAACCGGAAAGCTGATGAAACCTTGCATTGCTCCCCACCTGCTATGGGATTCATGATGCTTTCACTATTTGGGCTGTGAACTATTTTGCACTGTGTTACACCCTGCCAGACGTCAGATCCAGATTACCTATGTAAAATCATCGACGATGCAATGCAGTTTGCTTGATCATCGGTGTCTTGGTGCAGCGCATGGACTATGGAGAGTGGAGACATTCTGCTTCATGAACTAACGGACAAATTAACTGCCCCCTTAGCGTCTTCCCAAGGACAGACACCACCTTCACTTCCTGTTTACAAACTGTATAGATGGGATGTCATCGTATTCGCATACGAGCTTCAATTTAAATCAGAAGCACGCCTCACGTTTCACGCGTTTATGACATGACGCCGACCGGTGTGCACTAGAATTGTCAACCTTGTGACCGGAGGCACGTTCCCCATCGATACTGCTGTCCGTCGTCCACGGACCGTGACCATGAGACGTTCTGTATCGGTGCTGCCCCCGTCCCCCGCGGGCCGTGCCCCCCCCCCCCCGGTGCTGCCCCCGTCCCGAGCCGAGTGTGACCGTCCCTGCCGGTGCCGACAGACGCGGGTGGTAGCCGACACGGACGGTCTGCCGCTCGGCTGGAGTCTGGAGCTGACGCCGCCGCGGCTGCCGCAGCTGCCCCAGCCGCCGCAGCGGCCGCGCTGGAGCCTCGCCGGCGGCCAGCCGGTGGCCGAGTTCTCGCGCTTCTGCCAGCGGCTGGACCGCGACTCGGTGGCGCTGGAGACGGCCGTCTGCGGCGCCGGCCGGCGCACCATCACCGGCATCATACGCGTCAAAAACCTCGGCTTCGAGAAGCGGGTGTTTGTGCGAGCGACGAACGACGGTTGGCGCAGCAGCCGCGACTGGAGCGCCATCTACATCGCGCCGGTACACGGCGCCGTGGGCCCGGCACCCTCCTACGACCGCTTCTCGTTCGAAGTGGAGACGCCCGAGGTGGGCTCCGGCGCCGAGCGGATCGAGTTCTGCGTGTGCTTCCAGTGCGCGGCCGGCGAGTTCTGGGACAATAACGGCGGCGGGAACTACGTGGCGCTCCGTGAAAGCCTCCCCGACCAGCCGCCGGGGAGTCCGCCGCCCCGGTGGGAGCCGGAGGCACCGGCGCCGCGGCCGCCGCCCCGGGACGTGTTCCGTGCCAAAGTGGAGAGTAGCTGGGCCTACTTCTCGAGCTGGGGCAGTGTGACGGCCGAGGTGCCCTACTGGTGACCGGTTGGCGGCGCTCCGGTGCCCGGTGTGGCCGACTGTCCCGCCGCCCTCTAGACAGGGTCGCTGGGTGGGCGATGAATCGCGGAGAGATCGATCAGCCAATACCGTTCCTCATGAGTGGTTCTCCCACTGAACTGTGCTTGCCGTCGCTAAATATGACCTCGCGTAATGTTACAGGCCAAACGGACCGCCCGGGACTACTCACTCGTGTGAGTATCTTCTCCCACTGGAGGATGCAATCTTACCAACCGGCCGACATTTTTTCGGCCATTTAAAACCGCACAGACTGGCTCATAGACAGGTCACCGTCCGGACCGGGCGTGCTGACAGGTCATCTGTTACTCTCGCATGACTAACGCGTCAGCATAAATCGTTCTGTGACGGACTGTACAAAACTGGCGTTCTGCGACGAACGCGTACAGACCCCGCTGGCCTATGGTTTTGCAGCAGCTGCGCTCAATATCAGCCCGTATTGACGTGATGCTGCAGAACATGGTGTCTAGTTCTGTTGTCATTGGACATATCTGTCCGCTATGCTTCATAGTGGTCGTGATCTATGCGCCAATATTATATGCCGTTTTTGGCAAACATTCGACAGAGTGTGACATGACCAAAATGTCACCGAAACGCGCAAGAGGGCTGTATGAGATCCGTCAGATGTTATCAGTCGAGCTATCGGTGCAGACAGCTTCCGCCCGTATGAAGACAGGGCATGTCGTTTTGCGGGATTTACCAGTGCCTTGCTTTTTACTGCATTTTACAGGTGTGTGTCACGGACCTGTGACACGATTGTCGTGCTTCTTTCAGTGAGCAACGCGTCTTCTTGACGAGCCCACCGTCTTTTCGCGAGCGAATCGTGGACTAACATGCTATTTATACTCATCTAGTGTAATATTTAAATATAATTAACCCGGTCTCGGATGTCGAGTGCTGCATGCCATTGCAGAATACATATACTGTTCATATGGCCAGTGTTTTTTACATGGGCGAAGCACCTAGCAATGTCCGATAGGCGTAGCGTTGCGTTAGGTACTCAACTCAGTCGCAAAATATTCATCAAACGATAGTCTACTTACTACGGATACAGTCGCGTGATGGGATTCTTGTGCTTAGTTCACACCCGCGGTCTCTGAAGCAAACACGGCCTTGTTTTCGATGATTGCGTTTAGTGGGACACCGACAACAGAGCCCGTGACGCGATGAGATGAGGTTATGTCACGTGGCTGATACAGTCCGACCTCAAAGGCCCCTAGCTCGCACCAGGAGACGGCTGTTCCACAAGCCGCCCACATACGCAGACGAACACACGGACAGCACCCAATCCGTGGTGGCTGCAGTTGATGAATACAAAACACAGTTGCGAATAAACGAATAAGAAATTGACGCGTCTTGTGAAAAATGCTCATCGCTTCCGCTTCTCAAAGCAATTCGAGCCACACGCGAAATTGGCGTAGCAAGGGTTCTCCTAACTATCTCTCAAAAAGACCTCACTCGCACATTAACATCCACACAACGCACTACCGTTTCAGGCACTAGTAATAAGAAAAATAGACCGCCTAGGACCGTGGCTGGCCAGGTGCTCAGCAGCGAACCTCCGCGCTCGCTGGCGGATGACCTGGTTCGGTGCGCGCCAGATACTGAGGTGGCATCTCTACGTCTTCAGGTAACCTACGTCGGGACGGGATGGCGTCTCGGGGGCCTGCTCGCGCCTCCCGCCCACCGCCCGTAACAGCCATTATCGTCACGTCACGTCACGTCCAGGTGGCCGTCAGCCACTCGGTGTACATCCGCGGCGGGTCGGGTCAGGTCGGTCCGCCGCGGCCGACAGCTGTTCAGCCGCCCGCCATTTGTACTGGGTGAGCGGCGCCCGGCCGGCGGTGGCCGGGGCGCCGCTCCGTTCACTGGGCGTCGCCGGTGAACCGCGCACTGCCGCTGCTCGGCCCGGCAGTGATGTGCACAACTGCCCCCCTGCCCGCTGGGACCGCCCCACCAGCGGCGCGTCCCAGGAAGACTTCACTCACATGGGGCCGGGCCACATCTCCCGGCGCCGACAGTTGACCGGAGCCGGCTGACGCTGCGCCACAAACGCCGCTCCCTGTCGCTCCGTCCGCCGGCAGCTGCAGAGTCCGATCGAGATTGCACTCGGTCAGTGCGAGTGGCCTCGGCGCGCGGCGCGTCTTCTCTCTCACCTCACCTTGAATAGCACTTTATCCCTCTCACATTTCCCGGAGTCGCACACCGACGTAATAAATAGACCACTTCTCGCTCCGGGTCGCTCCTCAACACACAGCGTACTACTCGGACGGGTAGTAACGGCCTGTGTGACCGAACACAGTCCCAGCGTGCTGTCGGGTCACTGCCGCGTCACATACTGTCCCTGGGCCCGGTCACTGCCCTGACCGGACACTGCGCCTCTGTCCGGCTACTGGCGCACCCAGCGCCGTCGGTCACTGCTGCAGCAGTTTGGACGGCGACGGCCGGCCGCCGGCGCCCACCATCACGGACATGGCGCCGCTGCCGGCCGCCGGGAAGGAGCCGGGCGGCGCCAGCGCGGCCGGCCACCGTTTGAGCTGCGCGCCGGCCGCCTCGGTGGCCATCAGGATCTGCAGGCTGGGCAGCGAGTCGCCGTCGCCGCGGCCGCCGGCCGTGCTAGGGTCGCGGTCCTGCTCCTCCAGGAACCGGTCCATGTAGTCGCTGTGAGGGGAGGGGTGCGGACGGCGGTCAGCGGGCACAGGACACCCCACAGGGATATACACAGATACCAGGCGGCGGCACTCCAACAGGTCATACACATACATAGCGCTACTACACCTTTTTGCACTCAAAATAGGCATCTTTTCATTCAATTTCGGCGAATTGCATTCAATTTTAGCGATCTCTCATTTGCTTCGAATAGAGAGATCGCTAAAATTGAATGCAATTCGCCGAAATTGAATGAAAAGATGCCTATTTTGAGTGCAAAAAGGTGTATTATATCATGCCTAAATGACCCTGCATACGACAGCGTGCACCAGCTTCCCTTACCAGTAGGTAATTTTATATCGTTATATGGGCCACTTTCACAAGATTAGTGGCACCAACAAAGAAAAGCCCAGTTTACGTAAACATTAAAGGGACCCTCCCACCTTAACATTAGATTTGAGTTGAGATAGCCAAAATGGGGTCCCTGGCTCACAATTACCGGTTTCGGCACTCACAACATCGAGAAATGCCTTAAATCGGAAATATTGAATTTCAAAATTGCAGCATTTTGATTCAGAGGGGCTAATGCTTAGGAATACCCCTCTGAATGTGTGACGTCAGCGAACATATCTAACGATTTTTAAATGTTTGACTAAAACGTTTTGTAGCACACGGTGGTATATGCTATTTGCGCGCAACATCTGCCGCAAACGCCGCACTTCTAAAATAAAGTCGCTAGAAACAGCAGAGATCCCAAAAAAGTAAACAAAAGTAAAAGTCTAATATCTTGAAAACCGGTGAATATTTTTCGGTGAAATTTGGTATATATTCGTTTTCGCTCTTTCTGAACCGAGCGACATCACTTTCATGCCAATTCATAAACTTTTTTGAAGGTGGGAGGGTCCCTTTAATACAGTGAAATCTTTTTTTTTTTAGCAATGGGGGAGGGGAAAAGAATGATTTTACAAGGCTACTTGTTCGCACGTTCTAGGGTCGATTGCGCCATTTTGCATAAACGCACTATGCCTTTCATGATAGCAATTCGTAAAAGACGATTACTTACGTGACACCCGGATTTAATGCGTATTTCCTCTTCTCCATTTTTGTTTTGTTCGCAAACACGTCATGCCTTTCAGTCTTCTTCCAGAGATAATAGAACTGCACTAGCTCGCCCACTGAGCGGGTTCGAACCTGCACAAACAAAACGGAAAACCAAAGTAAGGTTGACATTCAAGTTTCAACTACCTATGTGAATTGCTAGTATGTCTCAAGGACAAAAATACATGTATTGATTCGGAAGCCCGAAACAGGGCCGGGCGTCTCCCACCTTTTGTTGTTGTATGGTGTAGAAGTCTTTGCCGTAGAAGCGCAGTCCGTTCTCGAAGTTGGCGCACTCCTCCTCCGACCACAGTGAGAGCGTGTCGATCTGCTGGTGATTGTTCATCTGGGTCCTCCGCAGAGCCTCCTCGACACTGTGGCCGCACTGCTGCAGCAGGAACAGAGCCTGGCGGGACACGGCGGCAGCGTCACACGACAGACAATGCATCGGTGTCCAACGCTCCCCGAGCCCACCAAAGCAACCGAGCCTGCTTGGGAACTTGATCTTCAGCGCTTATGCAGGACTCGACTCGATATTACCGGAGGCAGAAAGGTAAAAATATTCACTATCCCGGCAGGCGGTGGGCCTACCAGCCACCTTCCACACGGTGGGGGGGGGGGGCATTTTTTTGCCCCCCCCCCGTATCTCCGAAACTACTGGACGGATCAGGAAAATTCAAACGGCGTTTGATAGCCCTGTCAAATTTGTCGAAGGAAACCAAATTTCATTGACCTCAGGGTCACCGATGACGTCACAGGTCAGGTCAAAGATAAAATGTTTCACCGTTCACGGGGCTTCTAGGGAAAGCGCTATAACACCGAGTAAAACGCATTTTGTCGAAAATCAGCGATAAGGCGTCAGTTGCCTAGTACATATGTTGCTATTAGAGGTCACTGGTCATACCAGGTCAGGTCACAGGTCAGGTCACCAAAGGTCACAGGTCAGGTCACCAAAGGTCACCAAGGGTCACCACATGAGCCAGCTTTACTAAGGTTATGCGATGCATGTTTTATGGCCAGTTTTTCATTTCCAACTCAATGGTGTTGGTTATAAGACCATCAGGTACGGTTTAGGTCACTTTCTGGTGGAGGTCAGGTCAAGGTCAGGTCAAAAAAGGTCAAATTTCAAAGTTGATATTTTTGCATAAGATGGGTATCAATTCGATGCAGCTCGTCACGGGGAGTCTAATGGTGGTCTTTGTTTTGCGCTACGAGGTCTAGAATTGGTAAAAATTGAGTTTGAAAATTTGACGTCATCAATTTTGAACAGTTTTTTCCCTATAACTTGGCCAAAAAAAAGAGGTATCGATCTCAAATTTGGTATATAGATAGAAGGCGGTAGGGACTATCACATATATTCCGTTTTTTTCGAAATTCAGAAAACTTTCTGGATTTTTTGGCTATTATATTCAAAAAATCTATTTTTTGATTTTTAGGGGTCAAAATCCAAAAAATTCGAAAAACCGAAATAGCAGTTTTGTAGCCCTTTTGATTTCACACCTTTTATGTCAAGAACATTTTTCTGTATCTCTAAAGCTGTAGGCCTGACAGCTCTTCCCGCGAAACCTTTTTTTGGGTCGAAAATGGCAAAAATGACGTCACTCTGACGTCATTAGCGGCCAACCTATCATAGCTTTTGGAAAAATTTTTGGTCACCATGTGCGCTAGCTGCTCCCGGGAGGGTACTGAAAGTTTGGTGACGATCGGCGCAGCGGTTCTCGAGATATATTGAAAAAAAACTAAAGGGGGGGGGGCAAAAAATGCCCCCCCCCCACCGCCTGGAAGGCTATGACTTCATTGAATTATGGCAATGAAGTTGCACCGTCCATAACGTCTTTCGTTTATAACCTCTGAAGTTGTACACCGGTGTTAGTCAATTCGCCACAAATACGCCATCGGCCACAGACGGGTAGCTGGCCCCTCTTGCCGTACTCACCTGCTCGTTGTCCCTGATGTGGCAGCCGTTGGGCACGGCGGACACGCCCTTGGCCTGCTGCAGGCGGGCGTCCTGCACCTGACGCAGGTAGGTCTCCACGTCGGCGGCGCGGAGCACGGCCGGGTCCCAGAGCAGCCGGTCCTCGTTCTCGTAGGGCGGCGTGTCGCCGTACGGACTGAGACCGTCCGGGATGGCCGCCTGGTACACGCTGCCGATCATGATGGTCTTGCGCCAGTTGCTGTCCTCGCCCGAGCTCTCGGAGCTGTCCGACTCGTCGCCGTCGTCGCCGGCGGCCAGCGCGTCGTCGGCGGGCGCCTCGGAGCGCAGCGCCCGCTTGGCGGCGCCGGCCGGCTCCAGCTCCGGGTAGAGGGCCGACAGCGCCGAGCGGCGCGCCTTCTTGGCCGGCGGCGGCCCGGCCGCGTCCGCGCCGTCACGGTCGCTGGCCTCTGTCTCGGTGGCCGGCTCCTTCTCCGCCTGCCAACACAGGACGGTGTTGCATGACGTGACAGCAACTGATATCAAACCTTCAACAGTGATAGCTGTAAAACCTTGCTATGGTATCTTGATTCTATTGCGATAAAAAACGCTGCACAAGATGCACGCATAGGTATTTCACGCAATTTGTAAAATGGGGAAACGGCTGAGTTCGGGTATTGTAATGACAAAGTAAAGTAAGTAAAGGACAAAACAAAGTAGTTCGGACTCGGTGAATCACTGAGCAGCCCAGAGTTCTCTCACCTGAGCGCTGGCCGCCTCCTCCGAGGCCGAGCTGGACTGGGACGCCTCGGCGTCGTCGCCGTCGGCCGCCGCGTCCTCTCCGTCGCCGTCGGCGTCCGGCGTGGGGCTGGCGTCCGGTGCGGGCGCCGCGGCGTCGGCCGGGCCGCCGCCGTCCGGGTAGCGGCCGTACATGGCCAACAGCTTCTCGATGGGCATGTCCTGCTCCTGCTGCAGCAGGTCGGCCTCGTTCCGCTGCTGCTCGGCCGTCTCGTTTGCCTCGGCCTCGTCCAGCGTCCCCTCGTCGTCAAAGTCGTTGACCATCATGTCGACGGTGGGCTCGAACTCGCGGTCGCGGTCGCTGCCCGCCGGCGACGGCTGGTCGCGCCCGCTGGTCTGCTGAAATGAACAGTGGGATGGTGAGGGAGGTGGCTATCTGGCTCAGAAGAACCCAACACCTTATAGTCACACACAACCTCACCTAACTGGTTGAGAGTTAGCCTTTTCATTGACATGAAAAGCCAACTTGCTGAAATAACTCGTGTACATACTATGAAGCATAATTAGCATTTAGCACCTCTAAATCACTGCCCAATATATAAGAGTTTCTGTTGAGTACCCATCCATTTGTCCATACTCCACACCAGTCAAACCTCATACCAAATTTCAAATCAAAGGGCTTTTACAAACAGGTTTTCATAAATGGTGAAGGTACCTACTACCTAGACACCAGAAACTAAGTAATTTATAATGGCAATAACCAAAATCATACAGCAAAGTATACTTGAGCACAATACAATAGCCAAAATCTCATAATTCAAGAGCCAATAATTCAATACTTTTTCCTAAGTTTGCTTTGCTCAATGGCAATTACAAATCAAAGGGCTTTTACAAACAGGTTTTCATAAATGGTGAAGGTACCTACTACCTAGACACCAGAAACTAAGTAATTTATAATGGCAATAACCAAAATCATACAGCAAAGTATACTTGAGCACAATACAATAGCCAAAATCTCATAATTCAAGAGCCAATAATTCAATATCTTTTTCCTAAGTTTGCTTTGCTCAATGGCGGTGCTGAGATTGCTATAAAAACTGTTGTCCATGAGAACTGTCCATGAGAACAAAAACTGTCCAGGATAAGCTGGGGATTTTCATTCATAAGAGAAACTGGGTTATATTTTTACTGGTTTTAGGAAACCTTGGGCACATCAAGTACAAAATTGCAGTTATTGATGCTTATCATTTGTTTTCCTACAATACAAGGCTTTAGATTGTCCATAGATTTACAATTCAATTATTTGTTACATAGCAATTAGCACAATTCAATTATTTGTTACATAGCAATTAGCCATTGTAACTTTGGATAATCACAATGCAATGGATAAAATGTTGCATTTTCAAATGATTTTTCAAAACCTTTTAAGTCATCAGTAGCTTAAAATTAAGCTGATCAAGATCTGTCATTCATGCCTGCAGTGTTCACACTTTCGCCTGCTCCGAGATAATGCAAACTGTTGGAAAATGAGCACAACATTTATTAACCATAAAAATACCACCCCTCTCCGAGATTAAAAGTATGAAGTTAATGGATTGTAAAATAAATCAGTCAAAAACTTTTCGAAAAAGGAAAACAGGCACGCAGATTATCATAAACCACGCATGAGGCAATTACGACGCATTTCCCAATGTTTTTGTCGGATGTTTCCGAACTGCTGAAAAGGTTATAACTAGCCCTGAGTGGAATGTTACTTCCTCAAAGCATTTTTATTCCCGAAAAAATACCAATTATATCAGAAATAGAATAAACACCTACCTCTGACATGTTGAAAAGGCGCCACAAAAAGCACAAAAAGATACATACACAGTAGTGATGAATGAAGCATCATATTATTGTCGTTGGTAATGTTACTGAAAATATCAGTATAAAATGCTGCTTATTTAGAACTCGTAGCGGTATTGAAATAAACAATTAACTATGAGAAAATATTTGAATAAATGTATCACATACCTGTCGGCTGTCCACAACTAATGCAATATAAACGCTCTAGAGCCGCAATATTTTCCGTGCATGGGCCGATAGTAAGTGCATAGGCATGTATTCCCCATCCTCAGGAATACTTCATCCATGGCATAGGTATGCAGATTACAGGCTGTATACGCATCTGTATATCTATGGGTATATCTAAGGCATATCTACACGCGGGCGGCAAGGTACATTTACATGAATTGGCTATTTTGATCCATGACACCAATTCATTTGGGCGTGGGGACATAACTACATGTATACAGTATATGTATCCGACGCTGTTCACAATATACGTCAACGACATGCCACTAGAAGTCTCAAGCAATATGAAGATGTTCGCGGATGACACGAAGCTATATAAGCCACTGACAAATCCATCCGAACGTGGTGCTGGTCTGCAGGGTGATCTGGACGCTCTGGCACGATGGTCCTCAAGGTGGCTGCTGCCGTTCAACGCAGGAAAGTGTAAGGTGATGCACATGGGCTCAAGAAACCCTGCACACGAATACAGGCTAAACGGGACGCCCATCGCCGTGGTAGACGAAGAAAGGGATCTGGGGATCATAATCGACTCTGAGCTGAAGTTTCACTCCCAAACGGCCGCGGCCGTTTCAAAAGCCTCGCAGCTGCTCGCAGTCATCAAGCGATCCTTCGCTCACATCGATGAGACGACCCTACCCTTGCTCTACAAGGCTCTCGTCCGCCCCTTTCTGGAGTTTGGGAACGCCGTCTGGGGACCGTTCAGCAAAGGAGACCAGAAACGCTTAGAAAAGGTCCAGAGACGCGCCACGCGTATGGTGGAATCCATCAAGCACCTTCCCTACCCCGAGCGTCTGAAGCGGCTCCGACTACCGTCGTTGCTCTACCGCCGCCGCAGGGGAGACATGCTGACGGTCTACCAGCTGTTCCACGGTGGAATCGATGTGCCGCCAACGACCTTCTTCACCAAGAACGAGACCGAGCTGACGAGAGGACACGGATGGAAGCTGCTCAAACCCCGAGCTGTGACTCTCGCCCGACGAAGCAGCTTCAGTGTCCGCATCATCAAGGACTGGAACGCTCTACCTGCTGAGGTCGTATCGGCCGAAACACTCTCGACATTCAAGGCACGACTTGACCATCACTGGACCCACCTAATGTATGTCATGCCACAACCTTACGAGTCCTGAATGTCTCTGCAAGTAACTCGGTGAGAACGGGACCTATAGGCCAAGTGGCCTTTTCTATCCCGATGACCTTCAAGGTAAGGTAAGGTAGGTAAGGTATACCTATAGAGGGAGTGACGGAGAGAGGGGGAAGAGAGAGAGAGAGGGGGGAAGAGAGAGAGAGAGAGAGGGGGAAGAGAGAGAGAGAGAGAGAGAGAGAGAGAGAGAGAGAGAGAGAGAGAGAGAGAGAGAGAGAGAGAGAGAGAGAGAGAGAGAGAGAGAGAGAGAGAGAGAGAGAGAGAGAGAGAGAGAGAGAGAGAGAGAGAGAGAGAGAGAGAGAGAGAGAACAAACTCCTAAATACAGTGTGCTCTGCGTCATGCCCTTGCAGCAGTTAGACAACGGATAATTAGGCAGATGGAATGAAAGAAAGAAATTAGCCTTGGTGCATACATTTCCTATTCAAAATAAATCAGATCACATCTTCCGATTACAAACCGCAATACAAATAAAGCGTTACAAGAGACCGGTCAATTATATTGTTTACAAATGTTCCTCAGTTATCCATCAACTCACAGCCCAGCATCCTGATGATCGATACCAATAAAACTGGTCTACTGGAAGCACAATAGCATCCTACAAACATATCCCTTTGTTTCTGATAATGGAGCACATGGTGCAGTGATTCGAAAGGGCCTACAGATAGTTGAACAGTGGTACACATCATTGTTAAGCGACCTAACCAGTCAGGTATTGGTGCGTCCCTAGTTGGTGATTGAGCGGTGCAGCCTCCGGCGGGGGCGGGGGCGGAGGCGGACGACCGGCACGCGCTGCCGCCTCCTCCACAGTCATGCCGTGCACTTTGCGACAGTGTTTGCCCAGGATAGCCGCCGTCTTGAAGGCCTTCAGGCAGAGCGGACACTCGTGGGGCCGCCGCTCCGAGTGTTTGCTCATGTGGCTGTTGAGTTTCCCCTTGGTGACGAACCCATCGCCACAGAACTCGCAGACGTAGGGCCGGTCGCCTGTGTGACTGCGCATGTGGATCGTCATGCTGTAGCGCTCCTTGAAGCCCTTCTGGCAGAGCGGGCACACGTGCGGCCGCAGTGCCGAGTGCACGCGCTGCTTGTGGAGGCGCAGGTTGGCCGAGCAGCGCGTGGCGTGGCCGCAGATGTCGCACTGGTAGGGCCGCTCGTCGGCGTGGATACGCGCGTGGATGTCCAGGTTGTTCTTCCAGCGGAAGCACTTGCCGCAGACGGAGCACTGGTAGCTGCGCTCTCGGTGCTGCGAGCTGTGCTTGCGCAGCTTGGAGGCGGCCGCGAACACGGCTCCGCAGGTGCGGCAGATGTGCGCACGCGGCTCGTGATGAGACCGGTTATGGACGCTGAGTCGCGCCAGCGTGGCGAACGACTCGCCACAGGTCTCGCACGTGTACTGGGTGCCCGGGGTGGAGGGCACCGCCGCCTCTGCAGCGGCCACTGGCTGTGAAGGGCCGCAGGTGCAGGGGGCTGCTGGCCGCCCGCCGTCCGCCGGGTCCAGGCCGCCCTGTGAGCCCTCACCGGTCCCCAGCCGGCACTGGCAGACCGGACACGGACCGCCGGCGCCGGTCGCTGTCGCCGACTCCAACTGTGGCTGCTGGGGCAGCTGTGGCTGTGGAGCCGGCTCTGACTGTGACTGTGGAGCCGGCTCCGTCCGAGTCTGCAGAGCCGGCTCCGACGCCTCCAGCTCGGCGGCCAGCTCCTGCGCCACGCACTTGTGCCTCTTCAGCGCCCGGCCGTTCACGAACTGACGGTCACACTTGACACACTGCTCCCGCTTGGCGCGGTGGCGGTTCATGTGCTTTTGCCAGTAGAACCTGATGCTAAACGACTTGCCACACTCGTCACACCTCAGGTTCTCCGACGGTTTGTGCATGGCACTGACGTGCCGCTCCAGTGACTGTTTGCGCTTGAACACTTTGTCACACTGGTCACAGGAGAACCCAACCGCGTCGCCAGCAGTGGCAGACATCTGACTGGGCGCTGCTGAGTCTCGTACGTCTGAGTCCGAACAACCATCCCCTGGAGCTCCCGCGTCGCCGTCCGATACAGGCGGTTCGTCTGGAGACCGATCCTCACCAGAGATCAGTCCGTCCTCGTCCGACCTCTGCCACTCCTCCTCGCTCTCCACCCTGTGCTCAGCCGGCCGGCGACCCTCCAGCGTACCGCCGTCCTGAGTCCGTCCGTCACCGGCCACAGGCGCGGGCTCCACGGCGCGCTCGGCGGTCCGCCCGGCAGCCAGTGCCGCCAGCGTGCGCCGCAGCTCGGCCGCCGCCGGCGCGCCGTGGGTGCGCAGGTGCGCGGCGTACCGGTGCGCGCGGGCGAACCGGCGCCGGCAGACGGGACACCGGTGCCGGCGCAGACTCTCCGCGACGCCGTGCTGCGCCAGCTTATGTGCCACCAGCTTGGCGGACGAGCTGAAGGCGGCCGGGCAGCGCCGACAGCGGCTGAGCAGTGCGCCCTGGTGGGCGGCCAGCGCGTGCCGCCGCAGCGTCTGCCAGCCGGAAAAGCTGCGCCCACAGGCGGCGCACGGCAACCGATCGCCCTGCAGGTGGGAGCTCAGGTGGGCTGCCAGGGCGCGCCGGTCCGACACCTGCGCCGGGCAGAGGCTGCACTGCAGCTGGATAAAGTCCCCCGGCACCTGGCGGCATGATCACCACAGGCTGTCAGGCTATGATCAAAAGTGAATCTTGGGACATTGGGCCACCTCTTTGCAGTGTCATCAATGTTTTCAAATGCTAACAACAATGAATTTCCTTATAGAGCTCAGGAGCATGCCACCCAATGAAGATAGGACTGAAGTGAAAATGAAGATCAAACACTGAAAATGAAGATTCACTCACCTGAAAACTGTGTTTGGCGTCAGCACATTTGTTCAATCCCTGCCTGATTCTGCTTGCCAGCATGTAATGGTAATCAACTCTTTGAAAAAGGCTGGCACAGCTGTGGCAAACTGAACTCACTTCTAGTGATACACCATCTAGTTCAACAGAGGGCCTCTGAGAGAAAGGTGCCAGCTGAGAGGACTTCAGAGCTGGATCACTAGTATACTGGCCACAAATGATGCATTGTACAGCAGGTGATGTGTTTGTGCCTGTAGGGGTTAGCAGGCAGAGATTTTCTGACTGGGGTGGACTGGATGCCTCTCCTGTCATGGGAACACAGAGAACATTACTTGCACTGTATCCAGCTGGTTCCACATAGCTGGCTTGTGAAGGTTCACCATCTTCCTGAGGGGTTGGAACACCCCACTGAACTACAGATGCTGGGAAACCAGAAGCAGCCATATTGCTACCTGAAAAATATAAAACAACGATGTCTGTCTCTTGAATTGCATTGATCAACAATTACTGAGAATCACTAATTTTTCCTTAACAAAACGCATACTTTTCCTTGCTCCTTGATCTCAATCTCAGCCCTGACCATGCATGTATGATCTGAGCACCTTGATCTGAGCTGACCAGAGACCTATTGCACCAAACTATCTAGCTAGGCAAAAACAAAAACAAATTCAGAGTTAGCCTAACTAGCAGTGGTAAACTATTCTGCACTAGCCCATAACATAGGCCTACAGGTGCTTGGTAAAATTTATAGGTAAAATGTCACAGCAGAGTCTTGGAGTGGGTGTACAGTGCAACATAATTCAAGGATTGGTGCCAGATGATTTTGGTGCAAGAGTCCTCAGCCTCAGGTATGTAAAAACTGGCAGCCTGTCTTGGACACTGCAGGGCCCGGGGAGGTATCCTACAGCTCTCCCCGGGGCCAGGACGGCATATGCCAATTGCCATGGAACGGCACAGTCTCGGTCTGGCCAGACGGGCCGTTGTACAAAGTTAGGGGGGAGGCCGCAGGCTGGCGGAGCGCGTGTGGTCCAGCTGTAGTGGTCAGAAGGTCTGTCTGGGTGGTGGGGTTGCGCGTGGGACCTGGTGTGTGTGTGTGTGTTTATTTCGGTGATGCTCTGTTTTGTTTTGTTTTGTTTGAGGGGTGACATGTTACAAGTTCATAAAGCTCTGCACGGGCTCCAGTCAGTTGACCTCAGTGAACTTTTCACTGTTAAACCGAATCGTCAGATAGGGTCAGCTTTTAAACTGTATAAACGCCGATTTGCAACTTCTAAACGAGAACACTCCTTCTCACAACGGGTAATCAACAAGTGGAACAAGCTAACTGAACAAGTTAACACAGCAAAAACCATGATCCAATTCAAAAGGGAGTTCGACAAGCTGATGGCAACCACGAGGAATCATGAGACATGAAGTGCAAAGTAACAAAAGTAACAGATAGACGAGATATGGGCGTCCTATGGGCCAACTGTGGCCTCCTTAGCCCATTACCATCCTTATTCCTTCCTTATTCCTGTTGAAGAGGTGCCTCGTAATGAGTTTATGCTTTTGCACCAATTCAACTTTATTTCTGTCCATTGTCCATGCCCATAATCATAAATAAATGACAAACAAACAAACAAACAAAGGGCCATATCAATATCCTGCAAAAAATACCTTCCAAATCCCCCCAAACCTACTAAGATCATGATGCTTTACAGATTGCTCATTGCCCTCATTGGTGTACAATATTATGGTTGACTTTTCCTCTTTAAATTTCATTAGTTGTATCCTTATCCTAGATGTAAATTTACATCAATAAACAGATATTTCGATTCAACAGAGCAAACATGAATTTTACTTCATGCAGTGCCAACATATCAATAAATTGTAATACAAATAGCATATTAAGGTACCTACTTTTCAAAATGATATTGTAACCAAAAGAGATGAGAATAACATATGGGTAAATAGGGCTTCGAACATTGATATGATCTCCCACATAAAAAAAGCAAAATGTAAAAATACAATGCTCATAGCCGCTCATAGCAGCATGTCAAGAATTATGTTCTATTTCTTACGGCTTTCGGCACGCTCATAAAATGACGTCATGGCCCTTTTACTTCAACATATTTGCCTTTGACTCTTAATCATTTCCTATAGACGCTTCGGGAAAATAAAAATATATATATTTTTTAAATATTATTTCAAGCCTTCAAACTGAATAGCTGAGCTATTCTTTTGACTTACTGTTAGTTGCTATGGAAATTTCGGCACAGATCCTGCATCAGCACTTCAATAGAACATTTTTTAAGAAAGTTTTTTCTAGCAAGTGCGCCAAATATTTACAACACTGCTGAGAAGAAGATTGTGAGGTGGTTTTCTTTGGATTTTATTCCTTTCCATGGAACCTGGTTGGGTATTTTTTTGGTATTTATGGCCAGTTTAATGAGAGCCAGATAAAGTATCAGTATGTTCGGGATGTTCTATAATCTATATACCCTGAGAATTGAGATAAAGTGACCGCCCTGTGCCAATGCCCATTTGTAAAACTTGTACCTACTTTTTACCTTGTAGAATACAAGCTGCTTGAGGTCCAGGCTGGAAAAAAATACATGTTATGCCAAATTTGTCTGGCATAAACTGGCATAGTGGCAAGATTATGTTAAATTTGTTAGCGCATATCCGGCGTAATTTCACACAGAATTCAGATTTCAGCGCATGGGCGGGGTCTGAATTTTTGGCGCAGGGCGGCTGCATAATTATTTGCCGAAAGACAGTCACCGAATTTAGTTGGGATGCTGGTCAATCTAGCAGCATATTCGCCCTGTGGGCGACTGGAGAGATTTTGGGATAAGATGTCCCGTCCCCGGTCGTCGCATGCTCAAACTGGCAAGCCACCCTTAGTACTCAATGGGGGAGCGGCCGCCAAGATAAGGCCTCAACCCTTGGCGTGGAGATAGGCATGGTAGACCTTGTTAAACATTGCTGGGCATCGTTATGTAATACTGCAGTGGGTTCATACACACTGCACTATCAATGGGAATGAGAGCACAGACAACCTGGCGAAATAAGTGGCTACCCTGCCCTCAAGCGCCCTCTCACTGACAAGGACAGTTCATGGTGCGGTCTTGCATCAATGGCACAACTGATCCGAGTCACTATTCAAGCCACTCCTCGGGAGCACGTCGCCGCTCCCTATCCCCGGAGAGGACCGAGAGGAAGCTGTTTCGGTGCACTAGATGAGGGCGGGTCACTGGGGCCGCTCGCTCCAGTACGTGCACCGAATCAGCTGTCTCCACTCTGTGCGTGCTAGCAGTGCCCAGACAAGCAGTGCCCCACAGCGCAGTGCCGTGTGCCGAGAAGGGGCTGTTGTGCCAGATCACGTGCTGCTCCGCTGCCCGGCCCTCGCTGGCTCCTGCCAGCCTGGAACACACCGCTCCGCCGATTTTTTTTTTTGTAGCCCCGGAACTTCCGGCTCCGGCGTTGTTTTAGGGCAAGACGCTACAGTGCGCTAAGCGTTAAAAGCGTAAGGCCCCGGCCCCCGAAACGCTCTGTCTGGTCGATATGGCCGACGGCCTTGATCGGTAGATGTGCTCATGAGCTGTTTATGTAAGTGGTTTAATTTTGGCACAAATAGGCACCCAATTTTTGGGCGCAAATCATGCAGAAATCTCAGCGCAAAATCCCTTGCGCCGAATTTCGACGTAAGAGGGTCTCACGGCCGTCCGGCATATTGTATGGTTGTTTTTTTTTTCAGTCTGGCTAGTGGCTTAAGGTGTTCAATACCCATCTTGCTCGCTCTTTGATTGCAATTCTCTATCTTCTAGATCGTCCATGATGTTTGATCATATAGTAATGCTGTTGAAACTACCTATGTAGGTATTAGCTTCTAGGGATGGATGCATTCTTCTCTTTCCCATAACTTTTCCAACAATGATTTAAACTCGCTTAGTGAAAGTGCCATTACGGCCTCTGCGGGTAGAGCATTCCAATCATTAATGCTCCAGTGATTGCTTCTTACCCTCGATTGGGCATGGGGCTTTGTGACCTTGAGTGGATGAGATGACCAGGGATGCGGAGCCGGAGCCGGAGCCGGCATATTTTGCCCGGAGCCGGAGCCGGAGCCGTGAAACAATATAGCCCGGAGCCGGAGCCGGAGCCGTGAAACAATATAGCCCGGAGCCGGAGCCGGAGCCGGAGCCGGAGCCGGAGCCGGAGCCGGAGCCGTCAAAAAAGGGGGCGACTCCGGCTCCTTTTCTTAAGAGGAAACATATATAACAGTAGAACAGGAAACAATTATTTACCTAATTCGGTTTGACAGTACAAGGCGTAAAACAATGTGGTACCTATTCAAAATAGCCTTGTTATACAAATACAGAAGCAGCGTGTACCAATCCCATCGCCTTTTTTCTTCCACCCGTATTTTATTGATCGCGTAGGGGTGTACTGAGTAGAAGCCGGAGCCGGAGCCACCGGAGCCGGATCATTTTACTCGGAGCCGGAGCCGGAGCCGGAGCCGCCTTGACATTTCACCCGGAGCCGGAGCCGGAGCCGGAGCCGTCTGAAATTTCCACGGCTCCGCATCCCTGGAGATGACCTCTGTATCTTGTAATTCCACATGTAGGCTCAACAAACTTGTTCTGTAAACTGTAACAATCATTGGAATCATGAAATGCTAATATGGTAGAAATAAGCAAAGTCCAGGATTATTTTGTTTTGTAGTTTGCCATTAATGATAGCCACTCTAATTTTTATGCTCACTATTAATGCATTGTTAATCTGCAGATGTGAAGATGGTGTACACAGTACACACTACACACATTCATGACAATCACAAAGTTGAAGTGTTCCGGGAGCAACAATGACTAGGGCATGGATGGGGTATTCCATGACTAGGGGCAGGCAGGGACAAAACAAAATTACAGTGGTTTTCCTGACTCAAGAACATGCTCATGAGTCATGAGTCATGACTGACCTGAACGACTGACCTGAGCATTGTTCTCATTTGTAAATTTGCCTTTTGCACCCTGAGCTCAAAATTGAATGCAACCTCACAATATTGTCATGGGCCATGTATCAACCTAGACCATTGTCCATACAATACTGTCACATTAAAAGAGACAGGTGTACTTGTGGATGTGTTCTTTTATTTTATGTTTTTATTTCAAGAATTTCTGCAGTTCTGAGTGTGCTAAGCTGAAGGACAAAGACTTGTATAGCCTTTTCATCAGCTATCATTAGTTGCTGGTGTTTGACTTCTGTACTTACATCATTACAGATTTGACATAAATGGATGAGTGAAGGGCTCCTCTTAGTGAAAAAGAAGTCCATCAATACATACATACTTTTCCTTGTAGTGTGCTATATAAAAACTCTGAACAGATATGGTAAGTAAATACAACAACTATCCAATAAGAATATGCAATTATGCATATTCAAATTCAAACACTGGCTATTATTATACATTGACTATTGTACCTACTTAACCCTCGCATGAGTAGGGGGGGGGGGGGGGGGGGGTCGGATGCACCCCCATGGTTTTTCCCGAATAACTCTGGCAAAACGCGGCCCATCGCGACGAAGCTTTCAGTACCCTCGAGTTGATCAATTCTACACTTTCTCTGAAAATTTCACGACCCTGACCCAAATGACCTTTGACCTGTGACCTATTTCTCGAGACCATGTTTGGCCGGAATCGCGATTCAGCGTATGTCAGATCACATTATCCGCGCGTTTCCAGTCTTTTTGTGATTATAAACGTCCAAACATATGTTCGTCCCACGCATTACGGTGGGTGTCAAGGTCACCTGAAGGTCAGGTCAAGCAATTGACCTTTGATGACCTCGGGTCAGTTTTTCGAGTTTTACATGTTTCTAAGGTAGTTTTTCGGGCTGATTTCGAATTTAGTACCCATTTGAACATTTTCGAAGTAGTTTGAGTACCTTCGTAACATGTTACGACGCCGTTAGTAGTAGTTGACACCTACTATGCATATCCGGACGCCTACTGGTTGACCTGACCTGACCTGACCCGACCTGGCCTAAATGCATGAAGACATCATCTATGATCAAAACTAACGTGAAATTCTTGAGTAGCGCCCCCCCCCCAAAAAAAAAACATAACAGCTTCCCTTTACGAAGTTCTAGCAGGTCCCGATTTCCCGGCTTTTGGGTCGTGGACCTGACCTAGAAGGTCAACCAATGACCTAGGACCTTAAAATTGGGTATCATTGGCTTCCTCTCGTCACGGGAAACACGCTCGTTTTTTTCCGCGAGGCTCTAGCTCAATCAGGGGCCGAACAGCAGGGGAGGAGTCCAACCGACCTCCCCCCCCCTTCCCCACACGCCAGACACTGGCAAACGCCGCACACATGCGAGGGTTAATCCTAGAAAATTTTATGATAGGCACCTATTTGTTTTTATCATGATCATAATATTGCTTAGGATTTGATTTTGTTTTTATGTGGGAGTCAGCGGCCAACAGCACCTGATTACTATCATTTAGCCAGTTTACAGTCATTGTAATTGAACATTGCTGAAGTGCTGCCTCCCAAAAAGTAGTTGTTCTTGAAAGATATTAATAAATAGTTTGAAAGACTTCCTGCAATTATAACTATTATTCCATATTCAAAATTAGGAAACATCTCCAGAGAATCAAACTGTACTGACTCAGGAAACGCATTTGAGCTAGCTGTGCCACCACATTTCTATGCTGATGGACACGTCTGCCTGGTCTGCTGCATCACCAGGCGCTGTTTGGAACCCAGCTCATCATCACGATGGTGGCAGCCTGCGTATTGCAGAAGTTGGGACCCTACTACTCCCTGGCCAGGTGGCTGCTCTGCTCCAGCGGGTGAGTTTTTAGGTATATGGTATGAGGGCAGCACGATTCTTTGTCTGTTCGTAGCCTGATATAATCATCGAAGTCTCAAATGATCCTAGAATGATGAAAACTAGACAGCATTTTGGCGGGATTTACTGTAAAAGTATATGTGAGACTAACAATAACTGATTCAGGAAATGATTCCCCATTTATAACTTTGTGATTGTCTAATCATTAATTACTTAATAATCTCCCTGCTTTTCTCACTCTCTCCCTTCCCTCTCTACCCGTTTGTGGTCCAGCCTGAGGAGATATCGATATCCCACGGATGACAAGCTACGAGAGGCGGCGGGACTGGCCAAAAACGGCAAGAAGAAAGGGAAACACGAGGAGAAAACAGACAATGGCTTTCTCATACCAAAGAACACAGAGTTTGAGGTAAACATGTTTCAACGGTAGTGGCCGTTGGATGTTTTAATCATTTTGTTAACCAACTTCTACATATTGTCTTAAATGCATCTGCTTGGCAATAAATGCTGGTAACTCTTTGAATATTATGCGGCGATACCATCAAAAGAGCGCTGAATCGTATACGGTGCTGGCGTCTCAAATAGTAATTTTTTAAATTACTACGTAGAATATCCATCAATCCGACTACCTGCCGTCCTTTGCAGCTGGACACGGCGCCCGTGGAGCATTTCGAGGTGATCGGTTTCAACTTTTACACCGAGTACCAGTGGCTGGTGGACTTTGCCGTCTGGACCATGGTCGTTTACGCCATTACGGAGGTAGGCTAGCATAGCGTTTCTCTGCTATGATCGTTGCAGCGGACTTTTGTGTGATGTAATGGTCCTCTCCTCTGCCGGCAGCGGTATGTCGGCTGGTTAGGCCGCTGAGTTTTAACGGTCCGCTCCCGCCTCCGCCCAGTGCTACTCGTCTCGTGGCTGGAATGGCCGCTGGTTTTAACGCTCCGCTGCCGCCGCCCACAGTGCTACTCGTGGCTGATATGGCCGCTGAGTTTTAACGCTCCTCCCCCGCCGCCCACAGTGCTACTCGTGGCTGGTGGGGCCGCGGGACGAGGTGAACCTGAGCATGCTCTGGTGTCTGATGGTGCTGGGGTTCGCGGTGCGGCTGCTCGGCCGGCTGACGGCCGTGTTTTTCCGCTCGACGGACGGCTCCGGCGAGCTGGAGATCTGCGCCGTCTCCGGGCTGGCCTACTTTGTCGTCTCGATGGTGATCCTGGTGACGAGTAACGACCTGCTGGAGCTGCAGCTGGAGCAGGCCTACGGCAGCTTCAATGAGAGCGCCACCCACTTCCTGCGCGCGCACGGACTCGGCTCCAGGTGGGTGCAGAAGGGCTCAGTAGGTCGGAGTCAGACCTCAGGGTAAACCCCAGTGAGCCGGGTCAGGCCCCAAGGTCGGGATCAGACCTAAGGGTAAACCCCAGTGAGCCGGGTCAGGCCCAGGGTCGGGGTCAGGCCCCCGGATTGGCCCCAGTTCGTACCGGTGCCAGGTCTCGGAGCCGACTCCAGCTGAGAACCGGACGCTCAGACACTCAGTCGGCCCGGATGTCTCAATTTTCCGCTATTATCCGGAATGTTTACGAAAGTACAGCTTGTTTAATTTTTAAAACTACTCTAATATGCAATCGTCCATCGCCGACAGACTGCAGCCGTGCCGTTTGAGCTGACAGATCGTACGGCGCTGTTTCAGCGGGCCGGCGTCCATGTTTGCGTTCCGGCTGCTGCTGGCTGTGCTCTCCGGGTTCGCCGGCGCCATCCTGATGTTCCCCGGACTGCGCTACACACGGATGCACCGGGACTGTATCAGGTAAACAGCTGCGGCTGAGGCTGACCGTAACACTTGGGAAGGGTGACTGGCACCAAGCAGCGACGATGAACTACCTATATACGGTATATGTTGTGTTGTTTTTATGGTGTAAAAACGTAGATGTATCTTAAATTATCTACATTGCCATGCATCATTTGTTTGTTTGTGATTGTGTAATTGTGGGTGATTTATTTCAACTGGAGCAGACGTCAGTCGGCTGATGGCACCATTTGAAGGGAGCTTCCAACACGGCGTCGTCATGTCGTGTTTAGTATATTGGTATACCATTCTCCTACCTCGTGCCAACCCATCCCCGTGTTGGCGGCAGGGTGTCCTCCGAGAACCGTGCGCTGCAGCTGCTCTACCACGTCAACTTTGTGATGCCGCTGCTGAACGTGCTGACCTGGGTGCGGCCGCTGTCGCGCGCCTACCTCACCGAGAAGGACATGCCGTCCACGGGCGCGCCGCTGTGAGTGCGGGCCGCTCACAGCTGCCGCCCGGTGCCGGTGGCTGCAGTGAGGCACTAGATACTGATGATGGGGTATTGACGGCGCTGCAGGCGGCTATTGGCTGCTAATTGACGCACTGACACTGATAGATGATGTGTTAGGAAGTGAAATCGACACTTCAGTGTCTGTTTGATCACCTTGGTAACTATTGCCGTCTTTCCTGTTACTTTTGCAATCGTGTACGGTATAAGTCTCAACCCTCTATTGATCTCGCTATGCTTCTCAGTATCAGGCTTCTGCAGCTCCTAGTGACAGCTCATGACTCAGCAGTCTGCCGTGCAACCGATGCGTCTGACTGGAGCCGCCCTCCCCTCCGGCAGGCTGAGTGACGCCTGGTTCGACACCCTGCGACTCTGGCTGCTGTGGCTGACGCTCCGCCCCTCCTCCCCCCCCCCCCCCGGCAGGCTGAGTGACGCCTGGTTCGACAGCCTGCGCCTCTGGCTGCTGGTGGCCACTGTGGTGCTCCGCATGCTGCTGATGCCGCGTCACCTGCAGGCCTACCTCAACATCAGCCAGGACAAGCTGGACAGGATCCGCAAGGAGGCCGGCAGGATCCGCAGCACAGAGCTGCAGAAGCGGGTGAGCGCAGCGGCCGGCCGGGGTTCGGGGATCAGGGGTCAACTGGGTGTGCTCATGGCGAATGTCCTCAGGGCTAATTGTTAACTGTTAGTGTATTGTGTATATTCAGAAGACTTTAACGGCCATCTCCCTCACATACTTGATTTTTTTAACGTTGGCCGCCTTCGCTGCAGATTATCTTATAAACCGCTCTGATTTTATGTTCCGAAGCAGTTGTCCATTCCGGTTGCAGCTACTCTTTTCCGGTACATTTAGTGACTGAGTCTGTATCGTTCCGTTTCAGATCGTCAGCGTGTACTACTACGTGTGCGTGGCGGCTCTGCAATTTGTCACACCTCTCATACTCAGCCTGTACTTGGCGCTCATGTACAAATCACTCGGTAAGTCACGGGTTCTGGGCTGTTTGACGTGAGAACAGGACTTTGCTACTGCTACCAACTTCGTAAATTCTTAGCAGGGTTTTGCCGGAAAGGGGGCTTGCATGCACCCATTAGAGCCGAAAACTTTTTTTGATTACTTTCAACGCGATTTTAACATATGTTTGTCAGGCACCCTTTAGGAGAATACATGTGCATTTTTAGCCAGATCACGAAACCGGAAGTGTACGTTTCCGGTCTGGCAGCTTTTGCTGCCAAGCGTATCTTACATAGTCAAAAATGGAGTGGTTTGTCACATTTCAAAGCACACACATATCAAAACCGCGAGGAAATGATCTTTCGATACCAACAACCTTTGCCACAGAGTGTCTCCTGTTGGTGCATGTACAATTTTCACGAACCATTTTATTTACGTACCAGATATGATCTAGAATATGTGTAATTGTTCGGATTTCCATTCGACCGTAGCCTGCAAATAACGACGGTAGCCAATAATTCTCAAGAATAATGAACTCAAAATCCAGACCTCAGCTAACAGTTCAGCTCGTTCTGAGAGATCATGTTCTTTCTCTCATTATTTCAGCTCACACGCGCTTCCCCTCCCCACAAAATCTTATATAGGATGCGACGAAAGTTTTGATGACTTCCGTCGACCGTTTATTTAAAGCAACTTGGCGTGTTTCCAATGTGCTCCTAAATATCGCGTTCCTTTCAACGAATTGTGTCCCTGAGTCTTTCTCTGAAGCGGAGATTATCTGAAAAGCTGACCTTTACCAATGGGGGTCACTGACATGGGTAATTGTTTAACCATTGAACGGCGCATTTACGGAACGTCTAAGCATGAAGGTTTAGCTTTACAGTGAGAGGTTCGTAGTTGCGCTGTTGGCATGCTCCAAGCTGGCAAGTGCCAACACATGGAAGGACGCTGCCTCACACTTCTAAGCCCCCGTTTTCACCAACAAACGCTGGTGGAAGAAGTTTAGGGACAAGTAGCGTCACGCATAAGCCCCAATCAGCATGGTCCTCCTGCGTCTCAACCGTCGCCAAGATCGTCATGAAGAAAGCACCTGGGAAGTCTGACCATTCTGCGGAGAATCTGAAGTCCTATTCATAATGATCACTCGGATAATGTTGTCCATTGATAAGGGAGGAACGCCCTTGGACTGAAGGCGCTTGACTATTGGTGCGGCCAAAATAACGAAAATCAGCAAGCCCAGAGCCCTCAGATTTGCACGAAACGGAGAATCTGGCCGGTAGAAGAGTGGAAACGGAGTAGGTATGTAGAAGCGGGTCTAGTTCGGCGACGAGTCTCCGTTTCAATGGTTTCACCACACGGACCCCCAAAACGAGCATGGGCTGAAAACGCGGTCCAAGTTCCGACAGACTTCTGCGAAAAATTCTCGCCGCAATAGTATGTCGAACGATCACGATGTCCTAGCAGGGCCTGAGCTGAACCAGCTGGACGTGATCTAGCAAAAGACGAAGTCGATCATGACTACTACCTAGAAAACATACTGAAAAGGCGTGCATTTGGCATTACAAGACCACTACCCCGTGCTCCAACGGCGCATGGTGTCCCGCAGGTCGGACAGCATTTTCATGCTGGATGGTACTCCATCTCATCGATCTTCCGGAACTAGGCGGTGCCAGGACCATCTGTCCGATATCTGGGGGAAGGATACTTGGCTAGGGAACAGTCCTGGCCTAAATCCAATCGAATTATTTTGGAGGATAGTGCAGCAGGAGCTGGACGTATACAAACTTTCCGGCGACCTCGGACAGCTCGGAAGGGCACTCAAGTCCCAGGCGCCCCTTTTTCACATGGAGGACGTCCCTTTAAGCTTTATAGGCACCCCTCTCCCACGTAAGCGCCCATTTGGTCATCAAAGGCGCCTCTATAGGTCTCAGAGGCGCCCCTCTTTCTTGTGCAATGCGCCTCTTTTTCATATGCAATGCGCCCCTCTTTCGCATAAAGGTGCCCTATGGACAGTTCATGCACCCCTATAGACCTTACAAGTTACAGGTGTCCCTCTTTCTCGTAGAGGCGCCCCATTGGGCTTCATAGGCGCCCCTCTTCGGCATGCAGGCGCCCCTCTTTCGTGCAGATGCGCCATTATGGTCATGACCTTCGTAGGCGCCCCTCTTTTGCATGGGGGGCGGGAGCGGGGCGGGGGGCGGGGGCGACCCCATAGTTAGGCCTCAAAGGCGCCCCAACAGGCCTAGCAGGCGCCCCTCTTCCCGTTCATCTATAGAGCCACGGCACCACCTTCCCTTAGGCGACGGCGCGCCCCTTGAGGGATGGCGCCTCTGATGACAGTTTGTCCGCACCACTCCGTTCAACGTCCCTGCTTCAGCAATGGCGGAATACATTACACGCCTGGTAGTGTGTTGGTATGCAATGCTCTGCAGACAAGAATAAATAGCAGAAACCCCTGTAATGACCATTTTTGGAAAGGCAAAGAACTGGGGCATTACACTATGAGCCATAAAGCCAGACATTGTTGCTCACTTACGAATGGCATAGCAAAAAGGACGTAACTGCTCCATTTTTGACTACGTAAGATACGGTTGGCAGCTCTTGCTGCCACTTAAATATAACGCACGATTGGCGATACTTAGAGAAATTCATGTCGCACCTAAGCTCTTCCCATTGATAATCACACATTTCTTTACACTAATCAATAATAAAAAGGTAACATTTATTCACACCACCTTCGCAACTGACTTCTTTGGTTTCCGCCACACGGCCGCCATCACGCGCCCCTTGCACCCCCGCGATAAATTGTTTATTTCTCAGCACATTCGCTTTCTCGATCAATAATTCGGAGCGCACATGACGTGCATTGTTTTGGTCTTCCGTTCGAGTGAGAACTTTGAAAGTTCACCGCAACGTTTAGGAATGCGGCGCTATTTTGTCCTGTGGCAGCAAAAGCTGCCAAGCGTATCTAATGGGTTAACCCATTAGATACGCTTAGATAGGGATTTCTTTGCTTTCCTCGCTATTTCATTTGTTTTCCTCTGGATTCGCGGTTTTCAATAAAAGACACACATTTTGTGGAATACAGTAGTTCCGACTCCGACTCCAGCGTAGTCGGATTGACATGAGTGTTCTAGCTGGCTGCTATATATGTCACCCTGCTGCACCCTGACGCTGGAATGATTAGACTCTTAGTCGGTAACTTCACGTCAGCCTCGCTGACCGGCCGGTGTCCGCTGCGGGTCCCCTGACCGACTGGTGTCCACTCTCCCTCCAACTGGCTGGTGTCCGCCGCTGTAGCTCTCGCTGACGGTCCGCCACCCCCGCCGTCCCTCCTGACGGGCGCTGTCCACCCCTCAGGCGGGTACTCGTGGCTGGGCGCGGCGCCCGTCTCCGACCCGGAGCTGTCCCCGCTGCCGGCGCCGCCCACCGCCGACCAGCTGGGGTCACCCAGCCACCACGTCACCTTCACACTGGCGGCCGTGAAGCGGGTACGTGGGGTGCAGGTCCGGTGTGATAGCCGCTGAGAGCTCGTCAGCTCACGCAGCGGGTGCCGGGGTGTGAGGAGATGAAACTGTTTTCATTTTACTTAGGTGTTGTTTTTATCCGCTGGGACTAAGAGCGTGAGATGATGTTTTTCGTACTCCAGCGTAGATGGGTAGCCATACGGCTTCCACGGTTGACAGTGATGACATCAGTCATCTTTTGCAAGCTCGTTAAAGATTTGGGCTGTACGGGGATCCCCGTACAGCCCAAATCTTTAACGAGCTTGCAAAAGATGACTGATGTCATCACTGTCAACCGTGGAAGCCGTATGGCTACCCATCTACGCTGGAGTACGAAAAACATCATCTCATGTTTTCATTTTAGCTGCTACGATATCGCGATCGATAGCTAATTGTAGCGGAAACTGCCAACAAGTGCGTTTAAGAAAAAAAGTCAATTGCATCAGTTACCACCAGCAGCTAGTATGTCGGTCTGGTAATTTGGCCGATGCCGCTTACCGTTTACAATCGTTGCTGGCGTCAGTGAGTGACTAACGTGTGCCCACATCACTTGCTCGTTTCCGCACACACTGCTGTTGTCTTCCCGGTTCCCCAGTCTGAGATGTATACACTGGTGTTGCGCCGGGATCCCTGTTCTGTCTGACCGGTCCCTCTGTGCGCGGCAGGTGTTCACGCCAGGCTTCTACCGCGGCCTGCTGGGCTACCTGACCTGGTGGACCAGCTTCGTCATGTTCACCAGCTCGGTGGTGGGCTCCTCCCTGCTCGGCTACACGTGAACCTGGCGGAGGCGGCGGCAGTAGCAGCATCCTAGTCAGTGTGCCGTGGCGCGGGCGTGCCCTAGGGAGGGAGGGAGGGTCGGCTGTACCAGTCCGGGCAGCCGGTATGGGTATCACATCCCTACAGATCTGATGGAGTTAGGCAGAGTCTCCGTGCCATACAGTCCGTCTCCCCGTCCCGCCGTGGTGACGTTTCAATTGAACCCCGTCTGCAGTCATGTGTGGTGTCGTTTGAGGTTTGAAGCGTGACCGTGTCAATGGGTGAGAGCGGAGTCAGCCGAAATGGAAGTGGAGAGGGATGCAGCGCTCGGAACCTGCCAGTGTCTATTTAGGAATGTGAATCGAAACGTTGGGGGCAAACAGTGTAAGGCAAACGTTCGCATCAGCTGTTGTTTATATTTGTACTTTTTTACCTGAATGAGTGCCTGGATGTGGTGGTATGAATGATTCATTCGTTACAGTTTCTCTTGGAATGTTGTTGATTATAAATAAAATACAGTAAGCAACACCATTTTCTTACTGATGGAAGACATTTTAATGTCTGTCACGGTGTCATTTAAAAACATTTGGAGCTCTCACTAAGGATTCTTAAACTTTGTATCACGGAGAGCTTACGCTATTGCCTCCGACAACATACTTTCTTCTCCAAAAACGTTAAAGCGGTAGTGAAGCTGTTCGCTGCAACACAATTTCGCAACGGAAAGTAGCGCACGGCCGGCGCTAGTTTACAAATCGTGTCGCGGCTGACGGGCTGATCGTTTTGTTTTTCTGCGCCGTCGGGGATAGGGAGACTGCCCGCCCGTCGGCTGGCCTCGGCTGTGACGTCTCGCCTTCGGGGTGACTGACAGGGTAGTCTGATACCTTCTCCAGCAGCGCGCAGTCATGGCAGAAAGACAGTCGTCTCCTGCGCCTCGGTATCCCCTGCCGGTCGTCTAGAATCCAGTCCGTGCAGTCTCGTCCCGTCTACTGTCTGCCCGTGTCCTATCCTCTCGCCACCCGCCGCCTGTTCCGCCCCATGGCGCTCTGATCCCCTGTCACATCGTCCGGCCGACCCGCTCTGCGCCGGCCGGGTCAGTGGGTCAGCGCCGTCACCGCCGCCGCGTCACGACGTCACGGGGCCGTCACGGCGCCGGTATACATAAGACGCGCGGCGCGGCGGCCGTCACCACTCTCAGTCGACTCGGGGCAGCCGCACGCACAGCAGCCACCGAACGATGCGGCTCCTACTGGTCACTCTGCTGCTGCTGGCCGGCGTCAGCGACGGATACGGTGAGCAGTTGGCGCGGTCAGACTGGCCTGACCCGACCTGGCAGAGATACTCTTCATATCGGCACAGCCTACACCCGATACATGTTCTTGGCACGTGGTATGAAGTACCTACGATTTGTGATCAGTCCGTGTTGCTGTTTGTGTTTGGACAACAATTCCTGCTCGCTGACGCGGTGCACTCGCTCCACTTCCAGGACTTCCGGCGCCGCAGAAGGTGGCGACGAGGACCCGGACCAGCAATGTGGCCATTACTCGCGGCGGCGGCAGCGTCGTAGGCTCCACAACGGTAAACAACGCACCAACGTCGACCGGCTGCTCTTCTGCTCTCGTGTGCTTCATAAGAGCAGAAGAGCAGGGGTTAGCCAATCTCCCTTGACTACTAAATATACGAACCATTCAACCGATACAAAATCCCGTATTGTTGCGCTTTTTCTAGTCTCCTCACCCACTGAAGTGATCGTTTCACCTATCTCCTCCCGCTGACCGCCACCTGTTGAGTTCTCCCCGTTGACCGTCCCTGGCCGTGCTCCCCTGACGCCCGTCCTCCCTCGTCAGGGCTCGGCGGCCGGCGCGATGCAGCTGGGCCTGCGTCTGCCCGGTCTGAGTAGGAGCGGCTCCGTCACCAGCGCCGTCTCCGGCACCGACAACTTCGCCAGCGCCGGCAACGGACAGGTGGCCTCGGCCCGCGAGGTCTCCTCGTGTGAGTGTCCTCTGCCCCCTCTCCCGGACAGACATTGCGGGCCATTGAACCGTATACGGTGCAGGCCACACACAGCACCAGCTGTATCTGTGAATGTCTAGATTTGGGTTTGATATCGCCCGCCCAGATAGCCTAGACGTACAACATTAAATGAATGAACTTCTTGCTCCTATATGCAGTCTGTGACGCATAATTTGAGCGTTTTTTTCGGGATAGATGAACGTTAGTTTCCCGCCCTCGTCGTTGGATCTCATCCCAGACAGTTTTCTAGAGCCAGAGCAAGGAACCCACACGCTTCCCATCTCAGACGGATTCAGCTTCGGAGACGTCTCCTCGCCAACCGCCGCTGACCCCTCCCTCCCCTCCCGTGTCTCAGTGGGCAGGATCGGCAGCGGCGGCGCGCAGACGCTCACCCGGCAGCGGCTGCAGGCGGCCACCGGCGGCCGAGCCGTCACCACCGGCGTGGGTACGGGCGCGGCCAGCGGCGCCATGCGCCAGTCGACCCGCGGCGCGGTCACCGGGCCCAGAGGCGTGGTCGGCGCCGCCGGGGACGACGTGGCCACCTCGGCCACCAGCAGCGTCACCGCGCAGAACTCCAACCAGGGCAACTCGCTGACGCAGTTCGCGCAGAACTCGGAGCAGACGGCCAGCTTCATGGGCAGCCTGGCGGGCGGCGCCGGCGGCGGCGTGGCGCTCCCAGGCGGCGTGCTGCCCGGACAGGCCGTGCCCCCGTTCGGCGGCCTGGTCGGCGGAGGTCGGATCACGCTGAGAGGAGACCCGAGCGCCGGCCTGCCGGGAACCACCACGACGACGACGACGACGCGCCGTCCGCGCCGCCGCCGCCGGATGATGCGGCGGATGATGGGCGGCAGGAGAGGAGACTAAGTGGTCTCCTCGTGGACCGGCCGCTTCCAATCCGCACGGCATTGTCAGCCCGGTGAATAATTGAAGGAACGAGCAGAACTGGGAATTCATGTTTTTGTTAGCATGACGGAATATTCGTATAGGAAAGCTAATTTATTGTTGTGCTGCTTTTTCAAAGCTACCGAAAACATAGAATCGCTAAAATGCCCGTGTGATCGTTAACGTTTTATCGTGTTGCTAATTTGCAGCCCCGAAGTTGTTTTTGTATGGGACTGGGAGAATAAATAAACTGTGTTTACCATTCGTCTTTCGCCTACAACTTTAATAGTTTTGTGCATAGATCTGATGCCAGGCTTATCCCGACACACGCATTCTCCAGAGCCGCTGCCGTCCGCAGTCGGTATCCTTCCGGAGTCTCCAACCCGAGACAGCATTGCGACACTCTGTACACATTGCCGGTGCCTGCCTGTCCTCCGGCAGAGTGCTGCAGCGCTCACCTTCACGGGCCAGTTCGCGCCCCATCCGTTCCGCCGAGTGAACGGCTTCCAGCGGGCTCCCCGGCCTCAGCCGCCCGACGCTCGTCCTTGTCCTTGACCGGCGCCACCCTCGGCCCTTCAGACGTGAGGCGCCGTCCCGCGCCTCTCTCGGGTCACTGACCCAACGGCGCGGGCGGCGGCGGCACAGGCAGTGGCGGGGCGGCGGCCGCCCGGGCCCGTCATGGGCGGGCCGTGTGTCCGTCTAACACGGCTGACACAGCCGGCGCAGTGGCTACGGACCGACGCGGCGTGGTCCGCGCGAGTGACATCGCGCTGCCAGAGAAGGGGCGCTGTGAAGATTGCGGCTGCGCTGGTCATTCTGTGCTGTTGGCACGTGATCTACAAATACAACGCTTACAACCAAGGTAAGAATTGTGTGGTTGTCCGTGGTGCCGCGCACCGGCTGACTCTTGTGCTCTTTGCGATATTTTCGGTACATTTGGCGCTTGTACCATCAAATGATACACTGCTTACGTTTATACTATGGGTCAAAGCCGGTCCACAGATGCATATTGATATTATGTGTTTCTCTCGCGTGGCCGTTTCTATTACGGTGTCTCTCTGCGCCTCCACCAGCCGCTCCGAGTCCCGAGCTGCCTCCGTCGGCGGTGTCGCTGCTGCGTCTGTCCGCCTGGCTCCGGTCCGGGCCGGCCGGCGCGGTATCCCCGGGGGCCCTGCGCGGCTGTCTCCGCCGCCGGCCGCGCCGTCTGCTGTTTGCCGGCCACTCGCGGGTGTGGCAGCTGTTTTGGGCGGCGGTGGGGCGGGCGGGCGCCGAGCTGCGGCCGCGCTGGGCGCCGGCGCACGGACCCCCGTACGGAGGGGACCGGCCGCCGCCGGGGCAGACCGTGCCGGACACCTGTGTGGAGGTGTTCCGGCGGCCGCCCGGGGACCGCCGGCCGCCCGCCTGCAGCTGGGCCGCCGACGCGCCCGGTCTGCAGCTCGACCTGCGCTGGCGCCTGCGGCTGGACGGCCAGCTGAGCCGGCTGCTGACGGAGGCGGCCACACCCGGCCAGACGCCAGACCTGCTCGTCGCCGGTGGGTGTACTCCCATACCGAACTAGATTCGTGGGCCAATCGATCGGGAACTCGGCTTCTTGCGCCTTGGTAAGAGGTGACACAGTCGATGTTTGTCACTCATACCTGATACCACTCGCCGATTGCGAGTTCGCTACTCGAAGTTCAAAATGCACTCGGCTGTAGGACGAGTGGCTTCGAAGTGACTCAGGTTTTCTGGTTCACGCTGGATCAGTGCTTAGCCATCTTCGTTTTGAAACGGTGCCCACATCTAATTTTCATTTGTTTAATTTCACTGCCTACCGCGGTGAAAAGGCGTCTCTGACCGCTCAGCTTCACCCGTCCCCCGCCCTGCCTCCAGCCGTGGCCCTGAAGGAGACTGTCCGGGAGCGGGCGCTGCAGCGAGCGCCCCAGGCGCTCTGGGACGCCGTGCAGCGGCACCTGGTGCGCCCGCTGAGGACCCTCACCGACGCCGGCGTGCCCTCCGTCCTGCTGCTCGACTTCCCGCCTAACCGGCGACGGGCGGCGGTGCCGTACGACCGGGGCGCGGGCGCCGCCACCCTGGTCCAGAACGCGCTCATCATGCAGGCGGTGCGTGAGGTGAGACTGCAGCCGGCGACCGGACGTGTTGGGGCGCGGCGGGTTGCTGGGTTCACTGGGGCTGCCTCCCACGGAGCTGGGCCAGGCGACTGGCGCTGGAGTGGTGCTGGAGTGGGATGCTGCTGAGGGGAGAGCGGTGGGTCCGAGATCGTAGCGACTGGAGCCGTGGATCGTCCCAGAATCTATTCTTTTTTATGTCGTTCTAGGCCATCCGTCACGTAGCGTCACTCAGCTGTGCACTGTTTCAGGTGCCCGGTCTGCTCGTCTGGACGTCTCCGATGCCCTCTGTGATCCAGTTTTACACGGAGACCTGCGGCCGGCCGGCGACGCAGCTGGACACTGAGACCGCCGAGCGGTGCGCCAACGACACGTTCCACCCGGGGCCGGACGTGGTGGACGGCATGCTGGACCAGCTGCTGCACCTGCTCTGCTAGCAGACCGGCCGTCCAGTGACATAACCCAACGCCTGCCTGGCAGTGTCTCGAAGCGCCAGCAGCTGCTCAGCGCCGGACACCACCACACCCCGGGGCCAGTCCAAACTAGTCAACGCCATCCACCTTGCTCACAGTGTACAACGTCCTACGTCGACGTTTATTATTAGATGATGAATACACAGTAAAATAATTACACAGCTGTTCTCTGCGCGAGCCAGCAGCGACATCACAGATTACTCTCAGCGAAGAAGCATGATCTCAGTCGTCGGTTGGGCGGCCGGTCCGGCGGCGCGCCGGCCGGCCGCCCGTTTAGTACACGTTAATCCTGCCCTCTCTCAGTGTCAGCGGCGGCGGCGGCGGCGCGGTGGCCGGCGCCGCCGGACCCCCCACCCGGTCTCCGTCCGTGTCCGTGTGACTAGCACCTCCCCCAGTTAGCGTCCTATCGCACTGCACGCGCGCGCGCACGCACTATTATGGCAAATAATAAAATGGAAAACGGAGTGGGGCGCCTGATCACGCGGCGACCGCGGCCGCGCGCCGGCGGCGGCCCGGTGCAGCCCGGCGGCCGCCGAGCCGAGCCGAGCCGATCACAGGCGGCGCCGCCTACTTGGGCGAGCCGGGGTTGGTGCGCGGCGTGCCCGGGTTGCTCTGCGTCTGGGCGCGCTTGATGTACAGGTTGAGGAGTTTGAGTTTGGTGGCGTTCAGGGTGGCCAGGTGCGGCTGCATGGCCTCCTCGCCGCACAGCGTGTGGATGGTTACCATGCAGAACACGGCAGCCTTCCGTACCGACGACTCCGTGTTGTCGTACGCCTGCCGGGAGAGCAGCGAGGCAGAGACGCGTCACACAGCGCACAACACATGGACAGGGTACGCGATCAACTGAACGGATAACGCGGTACACTGTTAGAATCGCTTTGCATTCCTTATTTAGCACTTGAAGCATCAATCAAAGAACGGGAAAGCGAGACTGTCTTCCATACCTACCAGGTTCTCCTCCATGAGAGACTTGCCGTCGTTACCATTCCAAGAGTTTTTTTTCTCAAGACCTCTGACCCATGGCATCCCAGGTAGGCTGATTCAGTTCCAACTTCTAGCCACCTACCCATCCCCGCCCTGGCCAGTGTCCACCTCCCACCCCTCCCAGCCCAGTCCTATCTCTCACCCCGCCCCTGCCCGTCTCCTCACCCCGCACCCTGCCCCCCCCCCTGTCCGTCTCCCATCCGGCACTAGATGCGCACCTTGAGCAGGCTGGGCATAATCTCCGGCAGACAGCTGATGACCAGGTGTCGGCTGTGCTGCTCCATCAGTCGGGTCAGCGTCTTGATGGCCGCCTGGTTCACCGGGTACTCGCCCGTCTGTATCAGCGGGTTGAGCACGCGCACGACGCTCTCGGCCGGCAGCCGCCCGGCCAGCACGGCGGCGCACTGTTCGGCGGCGCGCACCACGTCGCGCTCCGACGGCTCCCGGTGCGCGTCCAGCACGCGCAGGAAGATGAGCTCGATGAACGGGTGGAAGAGCGGCGTGATGCAGTCGCGGCGCAGCATCTCCGTCAGCGCGGCCAGCACCAGCTCGCGCACCGGACCCGAGCCGTCGCGCAGGTTATCCAGCAGCAGCCGCAGCAGCGTCCTGTCACACCGAGAGAGACAGGGCCGGTCAGGGCAGGCGGCAGGCGGCACATCGCCACTGATGGGGCGGTTCAAACTACTTCTAACTTGATGAAGCCGCGCTTGACAAAACAAGACTCCTGACATCGCTAAAGTATCTGTGGGCTGGCAAAACGATGCACTGCCCGTAACCCGCAGCACTATAACCAACATCCCCACCCCAGGCCGCTGAGGGCGTCACGCACCTGAAGTGTTCGCTCCAGAGCTGCGCCGAGCCCTGTTTGGCCAGCCGGCAGACGGCCAGCAGCGCGTTGCGCCGCTCGGGCGTGTTGCGGTCGCCGTGCGAGGCGTTCAGCTCGGCCAGCACCGTCATGACCAGCTCGGCCTCGTCGGCCAGCGGCTCGGCCGGCTCGTCGGCGGCCGGCGGCGGCGCGGCGGCCGGCTCGCCCAGCGCGCGCAGCCGGGCCGGAGAGCGCGACTCGGTCCGCTCGGCAGAGGAGAGCTCCGTGCGCTCCAGCGCCAGAGACATCTGGCTGATACCCGAGTCCTGCGAGGTCGAGTCGCGCTCCGGCTCCGCCTTGGGGCCGGTGTCGCGGCCGTCGAAACTGTAGTTCTGAATCTCGGCCGTGGTGCGCCGCAGGGACCTGTGCACAGGGCGGAGTGTGCGAGTGTTAGCAAAAGACAATGAGCAGTTATTCTCTGCAGATTCGCTCCATCAGCACAGTGGGGACAAGTGAATATCAACAAACGTCAGGACGGTGGCGATCAACAAGTGTTTGAAAAACGTAGAGGCGCTGATGACGCTTCAGCATGACGGTGAATTAGCAGACATCGGGACGGTGGAATCAGCAGTGGCTGGAATAACTGGCGGTGGCCGGTGCGCCATGCAGCCTCACCATAAGCCAGCGCAAGCAAGGCGGATCTTGCAACTTAGTAACAACCCGAGGTACTTTTTACTGAACAAACCTGAAGAAGCAAAAATAAATATCGCTTAAGATAACTCATTATCCTCACGAACTCAAAAAGCATACGCGAGGATTAAGCTCACAGCACAACACAAACCACAGGAGTGTGGCACTGTAAAAAAAAGCCGCAAACCCAGCGCAGACAAAGACAAATGAGTCACAATCAAAACCACAAACAAATGGTGCCACCGAAATTATAGTGAAGGGCATTCTTTACACTGAAACTCACCCTCCTTCACAATGTGTCCCATCACTTTAGGTAGGCAGGGGAGACACAACATTCATTGTGACGTAACCGTACCAAATCCGCCGTGGTCATTGCTAGGCAATAATGGGCGGATCAGCGCCCTATTCTGCCGAGGCGGTACCAATCTCCCGTGAAACTAATGAGCCTCAGACTCCCGGGGATGTCACTATCTATATCCCGCTATATCCATCCAGTATCCACCAGTTATGCAACTGAACAGCGTCCAGTCTAAACTGCTTTAACATCAATTTAATTTGCTTCCTCCGTGGCCCCTGCGTCCTTCCCTCCCCTCCCGCGGTCCGTAGGCTCCCCAGCCCCGGCGTGCCGGTACCTGTAGAACTCCTCCGGGTTGAGGTTCTCCGTGTCGTCCGGGTCGCTGCGCAGTCGGGTCAGCGAGCGCGGCCCGCCGGCGCGCGGGAACGTGCCCGCCGGGCCGCCGTTCGAGGGCGCCATCGGCGAGCCGGGCGAGCGGGCGCGCATCAGCGCCGCCGACTGGTCGATGCTGGCGCGCCGCCGCAGGTGCTGCTGCATCACCTCCGAGGCCGTGTCCTGGACAGGGGCACAGGCAGGGGAGTCAGCACATACACACGTGGGGTGAGGCCGCAGAGGTCGCGTCCTGCATCAGGAGGAGGGGAGTTACTACACTAGACACGGCGACAACGGCGGAAGGGGATACTGCGCTCACAGAATACAGAATCCAGCATTTACCATACCATGGTCTACAGATTTACATGGACGCCGTCACATGCCGTAGCCAGCTTATGTTTCGTGAATGTTATACCAGCGCGCTGCCCAAACTGCACCCGAGGAGAACGCCGGACAGCCCGGGCCGCCGCCGCCGCTCACCCACCTGGTACAGCTTGGAGAGCTGCGAGAGGACCCGCGTGAAGTGCGGCGTGTTCAGGTTGAACAGCGCCACCACCACGCCCTTGGCAGAGTTCCGGATGTCCACCGACTTCTGGTCGGTCGTCCAGCCAATCACCTGAACGAACGGGAGGGGAGCATTAACGGCGACACACGGGAAAAAAGCGGTTAAAATCAGAACCGATAGGCATAATGTAAAGAGAGATTCCTCATGGTGTCTCGTTGACAGGTCAGGGGGCAGGTCTGGTGTCTGTACCTTAGTGACGGCCAGCGGCAGGTCGGGGTCGTACCTTGGTGACGGCCAGCGGCAGGTCTGGTCGTACGTACCTTAGTGACGGCCAGCGGCAGGTCGGGGTCGTACCTTAGTGACGGCCAGCGTCAGGTCGGGGTCGTACCTTGGTGACGGCCAGCGGCAGGTCGGGGTCGTCGGCCGGGAAGCTGGCCGCGTCCATCGAGTCGAGCACGGCGCGCAGGTAGCGCAGCGTATTGACCTTCACCTTGGTGTTGGGCGTCTGCGTCTGGTCCAGCAGGAACCGGAACACGCAGTGCAGCTGCTGCTCGTGCGGGAACGACGCCCTGCCACACACACAGTCATGGAGGGTCACGGCAGGGACAGGCCGCACAGAACGCGGACGACGGGGAGCAGTGTGGGAGAGGCAGTCATAAGAGTTAAGAGACAAGACCAGCCCATGACAACACGCCAAATTTTTGTACCATCGGTTCCAAGGTATCACCAAGGACGGTCGCAAACCGAATACAACACTCAGTGTCTATCCTTAGACACCCACTCACCGAACGATGTCGAGTGTCTTGTTGATTTTCTGTACGACGGACCCGAGCAGGTCGGCGCCGAGCTTGTTGAGCAGCCTGGTGACGAGCACGTAGAGCCAGTCGCCGAGGTCGTCGTGGTGCTGCACCACCAGCTCCTGCAGCGCGTCCAGGAAGATGCTGAACACCTGCACGGAGGAGGGGGAGGAGAGTTACGACACGTCCAGTCAGCAACGGTCACACGGTAGCTGGCAACTCATTATCAGTGTCCATCTGTGCCTGCTGATCAAGAGAGGTACACAAACCTTTAACGTTACCCCATTAACTTCAGCGTATTACGAAATACAGGCACGTCTAGGACAGTAATCGAACAGCCATGGACACGACCGCCTAGTACCACGCCGTACCTTGGTGTGGGTATCCATGAACATCTTGGTGAAGATCTCTGTGATGCGTTTGAGCTCGGAGGCGGTCAGCATGCGGTTGGACCGGAGCACGGCCTGCAGGGCGAGCAGGCCGTCCTTGCGGTCTGCCCACTGGGTGGCCGCCAGGCTGGCGATCACCTCACCCACGTCCTGCTGGAGACGCGGGCGGCCGCGGCGGCCGGGCGTCAGACAGCGCGCCGGTAAGGGAGGGAGGTGGGTCAGCTGAGGGTAGATTGCTTAAAAAACACTCACAAGTCGTGACAAAAAGGTAATTCCAAGCGGCTTTAGCCACCATAAACTATAAAGTTGAAGATCTGAGATCATCATTCCATTCCCCGTGAGTCCAGGATCTACTAAATCGCTTTTCACGGTCACCAAGGGCCGTGAAAAGTAGTGGGTCTCAACGTGATCCCTTCCAGCTGACCACTGTTTGCGAAAACGGTCCTACCGCATACCCGAGCTTACACCGTGTTTGTAACTTTGTCTACCATCCTATTCCTTTACCTGTCCGCTGTCCTCCCAGACGGCCCTACCTGTCCTGTCACACGCCCCTGCCTGTCCGCTGTCCTCCCAGACGCCCCTACATGTCCGCTGTCCTGTCACACGCCCCTACCTGTCCGCTGTCCTCCCAGACGTCCCTACCTGTCCTGTCACACGCCCCTACCTGTCCGCTGTCCTCCCAGACGTCCCTACCTGCCCGCAGTCCTCCAACACGCCCCTACCTGTCCTGTCACACGCCCCTACCTGTCCGCTGTCCTCCCAGACGTCCCTCAGTCGGCCGGAGGAGAGGCTGGGCGGCCCGCCGTGCCAGCCGGAGGCGTACTGCGCGGCGCACCGTTAGCGAGGGCGGGGGCGGGGCGGCCGGTCAGACAGCGTACCCAGACAGCGACAGACAGACCCAGACAGAGCAGACACGGACAGACAGCGGCGCGACGCCGGCAGAAGAAATAGTACCGCGGCACCAGACCGCCACAGGCTGCGCTCGACTCAACGTCAGACTCTAGTATGTAGGTCCAATTTACAGCCACGGCAGCAGAGTATTGCCTCAGAATATGAGTCGGGCGCAGTCCTGTAGCAGTGCCCGGGGCGAGTTAGTAAACAGAGAGCGGCGGCTCGCTCAGTTCGCACTAAAAGCGGTATCGGTCTCTAACCACACTGATCCAGTGATTGACCGAGACACAATTACTGACATACCTACTCAGCAAGCACAGAACCTAAAGCCATCTCATAGGTCAGCCAAAGCGATCTCAAGCGCATTATTCGCCATGGGCGTACAAGAAAAAGCGAGTTTACCTTGCAACAAACGCAAAGCGATTCCCTCGTGATCTGAAAAACCTTAAGTGAGCCATTTGTACCACCATGAAATATAATTAGTTTTGCCGACCAATAAGCACGTCAGTTTCAGAAGACTGAAGCCATTAGCAATTAACTATTATCCTGAAGAGAACAAAAGCATTCGCCGTCCCACCACCACTCACAGTCACAGCACAGGAAGCGTAAGACGGGGGAACCAAAAGGGACCCTGCACTAATCTAATATCCTACAAGGCAAGACTCAAAATAACCGTCAATGCAGAGTATCAACGAGTCTTCAGAAAATAAATATTCAATCTGCATTTTTTTCGAACGATTTTTTATTGACAGAATCGAGCCGAAGGAAACAGAGGGACATTTTACGATGCTACAGTCTGAAGACTCGTCGATCTGACTCATGGTACTACCGTCTCAAGCTCACCTTTTCCGCCCGTACCGCACCTTGACCAGTCACCAGGGAAATTGAGGCAGGATGAGGCAGTGTATGGTGTACTGCAGCTCCCCTTTCCCTCAGTGGGACAGCACCCGGTGCAGCTCCCCTCTCCCCCAGTGAGACAGCACCCGGTGCAGCTCCCCTCTCCCTCAGTGAGACAGCACCCGGTGCAGCTCACCTCTCCCTCAGTGAGACAGCACCCGGTGCAGCTCCCCTCTCCCCCAGTGAGACAGCACCCGGTGCAGCTCCCCTCTCCCTCAGTGAGACAGCACCCGGTGCAGCTCACCTCTCCCTCAGTGAGACAGCACCCGGTGCAGCTCACCTCTCCCCCAGTGAGACAGCACCCGGTGCAGCTCACCTCTCCCTCAATGGGTCAGCGCGCGTCTGTGGCTCACCTCCCGCCGGTTGGCCGACTCGTAGGAGCGCTCCGAGCACACGCTGCTCGTCTCGGACTCGTCAGAATGGTCGTCGAACGAGCGGAACGGCCGCGGCGTGCGCGTCGTCGCCTGTCAACACCGATACACCCGTCAGTGACGCGTGAACGACACGCTCACATCACATTGGGATGGGCGCGGCAATAGCTTTGAACCTTGGGCCTTGACGCTATTTTTCATCGAGGACAGCAAAATCGTTCCCAGAAACGAAAAAGCCGCTACTAAACAGCTAACTGCTACTACAAAGTCTTACAATGGATATCAGAAACGAGAAACAGTGTCTAATTATGCACAAAAAACACAATCGTGCTGATGCAAGGTAGCTTATTCCAAACACCAGCAGGCTCCTCGTCCCTATCACGTACGCCGAAACCGAGGGCGGTCAGGACAACACAGAGCCTTTGGATCACCTGGCTTCCCGCGCCAGCCGGCCGCGCGGCGCGCCAACGGCCGACGGGCGCGCAGCCGGCGCCCATCGAGCTGACGGAGCGGACCGGAGCGCGCGGCTCCGCGGCCACAGGGACGCCGGGGGCGGCGGGCGCCTGCCGGACACGCCAGGATGGGGTGGAGGACTCAGAGGGGACTCATAGGACACGCCGGGACAGGAGCGAGGACTCAGAGGACACGCAGGCGGGACAGCTGATAGGCTAACGCACGCAAGAGTAGATGGAACGAACGAGGGACCTGGCAGCGGAACAGTGCATATTGATAATGGACAAACCCAACAGCCTTTGGACACTTATGACCCACTGGACAATAAGGACACACATTGACCGATGGCGGGCACGAAGGTGTGTGTGTGTGTGTGTGGGGGGGGGGGGGCAAGTCGGGTTGGGAGGCCGGTAGCTGACATGCACAGACCCACAGCTACAGCGGACAGTGAGTATGAGAACGGACACGGCCGGACCGGACCAGGGCAGGGAGAGAAGCCAGCGCTCCCCACAGGACTGACAGTACGGTACTACGGCGCGGGCAGCACTTACATCGAGCAGCGCGCCATCGCTGAGCGAGAGCGGCTCGTTGAAGGCGTCATCGTCCGACTGCGAGGGGTGAGACAGACAGACAGACAGACACACAGGCGGAGGTGTTAGCGGGGCGGAGTCACTCACCGCCGGCCGCCCCCGCGCGCCCTCAGAGCGACACGGGCGGCCAACATGCTCAGCCAGCCACAGACGAGAGAGCTGAATAGTGGAAAAAGATAGGGGAAGAGTGAAAGGGAAGAGAAATACAATGAGAAAGAGAAAATAAGTAATAAGAGTATGGAAAGGCAATGAAGTGATAAAATAAATAAAGAGAAACATGCCAAAATGTGAAGAGAACACGAGTGGGCAGACAGAAGAACAAGTGGGGTAAAATTGTTAACGAATGGCGTATCGTTATAAAATAGGTGATCAAGTGCGCTGTGCAAACCACACCACATTAACTAAGTATGTACACGTTTCTCACTACTGTAATGCCATGCAATGGCCACAGCGGCCAGTGAAACACGAAAAATAAGTCAACTGACGGGGGCAAAACGATAGCACATTCATGCCCTAAATAATTCATACTATATTCACAATCTGGTACGGACCACCCGTGGGCGCGGCAGACGGGCTGCGTATCGGCGGGGTCCCTAACATTGCTGCCACTCACTGAATTCGGTCGGCTCACAAGCCGTTTGGTGGTAGCTGTCTATTGTGAGCCGTGACAGGGAGGGTAAGGGACCACGGGGCAACTGAGACTAAGACGGTGAAATTGACATAGGTCAACCGCGGGAGACCGGATGAAAAGCAACGGACTGCGGTGAGGAGGGGTCATGCCGATCAGTCCGTAGCGGCGCGCCCACGGTTGGTCCCCGTACCGGGGATGAGACCCGTCTCCGTCGCCCTCGGCGGCCCACTCACCAGGGCGTCTGCCAGTGCCGACTCGGCCTCCCTGCTCTGCTGCAGGATCTTGTGCACGGTGACCGGCCGGCCGTGGACCGCCTCCGTCCCGCCCGCTATCGACCTGAACCGCAAAGACACACACGGGAGTAGTCAGACACAGCACCAATCACGAGGTCAACCCACCACCAGCCGCAGAAAATGAATAAAAAAGCATACCCCACTTCAATTAGATTGCCTCTAATAACACACCAGCCACAGCTCCGACAAGTTTTGATCCTTCCTCCCACCGTCCCCGTCTGGCTCACCGAGATCTGGCCGAGCCGGCCGATCCGGCGGCGCCCACGGCCGGCAGCCGGTGCGGGGATGGCTCGCGCGAGGTGCCCGTCGAGCGCGGGATGCCCGAGCGGCGCCGCGTGCGGCCGGCCGTGTGCGCGTCGCCCGGTGAGCCGGCCGCCGCCGACGTGTACGTGGCGTAACTGAGACGCGAGGACGGAGAGCCGCTACGGCTGCCCGCTGCGGACAGAGACACGGGTGGTCAGCGCCGAGGTACGGTACGATACAGCACGAATACGCTACACAAAACATGACTGATAGGGAGAAATGATATCCATCATATTGGATGGCATCCACAGTACATTATAAACTGAGTATCACGGGACGTTGATGTCTTTAACGATCAGCGATAGTAATAAGAAATCACCGGGCAGGCAAAGAAATTGTGAACATAGTCGGACTCGACTGCGGGGCGTCTGAACACTTACGGTACACAGACACGGGACGTGACTGCATAAGGAAAGGAGTTGACGGAGTACGTGCTAAAATACGACGGCTATACATTTTCGAAGAAAATCAATAACATCGAGAGGCAGGGAAAGCCAACTACAAACCAAAACAGGTGAAGCAATTCGACTCTCTAAATCTACTGCCTGTTGTATTTTACGCTAAATCATGCTCATCAATCCACAAATCTACGTCTACCACCTGGTGAAGTACAGGAAGGCAGCGTGTATTATTCATTGAGGCCGATCCCGACGTAAATGAGCCCATAGTGTCAGAGGTGAATGACTATGCCATCCCGCTGATAGCTCAGCTGTGGATACAGCAGACAGATGGCGACCGGCATTTCTGTCGCCGCCGTGTCCCAATTCGCCCGCCTCCATCTCATCTCGTCGCCGATTCACCAGCGAGCCTCTGGGTCGGTCTCAGCCTCTCTAGGCGCCCGGCTCCGTGTCCGTCCCGTCGTACTCACGCTGACTCTGGGTCACTCTCCGGCCGCGGTTCCGCGGCGTTCTCGGCGACTCGGTGGAGCCGGCGGCGGCGGGGGGAGGGCCGCGCGCCGGACTGGCCGCTGTCAGTTTCCGCGGCCGCGCTGTCGAGCAGACGTGCCGGGCGGCCGGTCAGCGGGGCAAGGCCGACCGGCAGGCAGGCGGGCGGCACCGGGCCAGCCAGGCAGCCAATACAGGCACACACGGGCAAACTGAACGGGAGAGAGAGCCGAGAGAAAAGGGTAGAAAACTGCTAGGAGAAAGCGAAAAGAGATGGACAGCAGTACAACTAAACGTAGTGATGGCTGCCGCAGGAGATACAGAAAGAGAAATAGACAATGCAGAAATACAGCAATACGATATACAACAAAATCATAAAACTGCTATCGACCAAACCCTTGGAAAGAGGACACTCTGAGCGCAATACAGAGCCAGGCCGACCGACTGGGAGCGGCAGTCACAAACACACACACACACACACACACACACACGCAGAGCTGCAGGGCGCGCCATGCCGGCCGACTGTGCTGTGTCCCCAGTGTCCCCTGCCCTGTGGTGGCGACCGGGGGCTCACAGACAAACCTAAGGAGTCCCTTACACGTACCGTCCACCGAGTCTCCGGCGGCTGAGTCCGGCAGCACAGGGCGGGATTACAACATCAAAACAAGTCCCGAACACTACATAGAACTGAGTTTCTGATAGAAACGTTGATGACGTTTCTAGCTACCCAAGGTAAGAGTCAAAATTTCATTAGAATATTTTAGAATGAACACCGGCTCTCTACGGGCCCCAGTGTTCAGAATTGTCCATAAATGCTCTTAAATCAGCTCTGAAGGTGATTAGCCCATCCCCTCCTACCCTCTCAGCCCTGCCGATGTGCCCCCCTACTCACGCAGACTGACGCCGGAGCCGACACGCATGCGCTGCGCGGCGGCGTACTGGGCGCGGGCGCGCGCCCGCTGCGCCGCCTGCAGGTCGATGGCCGACGTGGAGCGGTAGGAGGCGGGCGACTGGCCGGCGGTCGCCGACTCGCCGCCGCCTGCGGCACACACTGCCGGTCTCAGCGGCGGTCCGCGCCACACGCTACACCACGCAGGGTCACCGCACACGGCAGGCGCGCACACACGTACCGCACTCTCCGAGGCTAGGTACTAACTCGGCACACACGCTACGGAAGTACTGGAATGGAGATGGTGTGCACGGTACTGGGGGGAGCTCTTGGGCTAGGGGCTAAAAAGGGGAAGAACTGGCCAATTGAAGTGATAAGCTACAAACATCCTATTAAAAGCACACTGCATGTGACCTATTACTAAATTGTAAATGGGAAGGAACAAGAATGTGAGAGACGACGCTAACAAACACGAAAAGTGTGAACGTGAGGATTAAGACCTCTCCATAAGATACGTGATATCAAATTTTGTCCCCAAACGGGACACCGTTCAGTTCGAGTGAAGTCCTCAAAATGACAGCGTCTCCGTTCACCCAAGGTCTGTGTGGATCCCCGTGAGCCTGGGAGAAATGTGGCGACGTCGCTCGCAGTGGCCTAAGCTCACAGCAGAGAAGTCGGCCGACAGCTAGCATTAGTATGCCGGCCTGTAGCATTAGAGTGGTGGCCACTGGCCGGCCTGTGGCGTTAGCTGGTCGGCCTGCAGCGATCAGAGTAGTGGCCGGCCTGTGGCCATTAGCGGCGGCTGTCGAACCAGGGACAGTGTGGCTGCGCGTCCGCCAGATCAGCGGGTAAAAACAGGACCCGTCTGTGGGTCTGTTACGTCACAGGCCGCTGACAATGAACACGGCACGACCTACCTCAGCCTGTAGCCGGATACCAACCGAAAACTATCAGACCGTCGTGTGCCGTTGGTACGAAATGACGCTGTCAATAGCGAGTCTGTGTACTGTACTAGACGGACTGACGACCGCTAGCTAAACCACGTATCAGCGCGCCTTTAAATGATTCAGTATGGATCAGCGACCAGTCACACTAATTGTCAGATTTGGGCGGATATATGCCGGGTTCGGGCAGATTTTGATACACCAGACACTCACCTCTTTCCAGCTGCACGTGCGGGGGTTTACCATAAGTGATAAACACCCGTGGGAACCAGGCGGATAATGGGATTAATTCCCGGGTCTAAATCGTGCTTACATTGGGTTTGGGCTTTTTATTTTCGGCTATTAGCGGTGTTTACGCACCTCTGTCGGGTTTGGGCGGGGAGTTGGACGTGTTGTAGGGGCTTCTGGCGGTGTGTACGCACCTCTGTCGGGTTTGGGCGGTATGCAGTACGCACCTCTGTCGGGTTTGGGCGGTGTGTAGTACGCACCTCTGTCGGGTTTGGGCGGTGTGTAGTACGCACCTCTGTCGGGTTTGGGCGGGCTCGGCTGCGGGATGTGACTGCGCCGCGGCAGGGAGGTGGTCCGACTGCTCAGGTTCTCCTGACTGCCGGCGCGCGACGAGGCCCGTGACCGCGAGCTCACCGGCGCCGCGTGCGACACACGGATCGCCGCTGCAACAGGCGCAACAATCCAATACCGTCAGTCCCTGATCGACCTCAGTGTCACAGCGGAGCGGTACGGCGAGAGATGTAGCCAGGCATGACAATTCAATAAAGACACGAAACCTGCACCGAAACGCAACATTGAATATATTGCAAAATTGAAGTGCAACAACGATAACATAACATTGGTTGAAGCTGATAATAGCATGTTGCACAGCGGCAATGACTGCCGTCCGCTATGTAGCGTGTCAAGACGGCACACAGCCAGGTGCACCCAATCTGCCTCCAATGTATATGGTAAGCATCAGCACAGCTCTACGCTTGTGCAGCCCACCCTAGTCAGTGTGAGCTGTGCACTGACAGATGGGAGCTCAACGTTAACGGTACGCCTAATGATGCGACTGTCATCACAATCATCTGCCGTCGAGACATCATTCATCTCGAGCCGTTCGTCATTTAAGAGACTGTTATTGTCAGCAGTAGGTCCTGACGGCCTGGCGGCTAGGTCTGCAATTACACCAAGGTGTGCAATAAAGCGACCACCAAAGACACGTTAAGGTATTTGTCCGCGAATAAGCCCTACTTACACGGCCCTGTGAGCGAGTTGTTCGAACTGGATTTGGACATTTCACCAGCCAGTAGTTTCTTGTGTTGAGAGTCTAACGAGTTCAGTAGAGAGTCTGCTTGTTCCTTGAAATGGTCGGCGAATCCCCAGTATGCTCTGAAAAGGGTGAAAACATGTCACAACAATCAACGATGTCAACTGACCGTTTATGACGTTTACCATGATTAAACTACCTGAGTCAGAGGCGGACGGGGAGGTGACGTAGACTAAAAGAAAAACCCCTCTTAACGCAAATACCGTGAATTGTAAAACAGCTCATACTATAACCTTATGCCTGAAACAGACTCTTTCCGCAGTCAGGAAATCGCATGCGAGAGCCTATTCAAATACATGGAAGCACGCTCGCATCAATCGCACGCACCTCCCGGATGCGATTGATGCGGGAAGAATTATAATGTATTTGAATAGGCTCTCGCATGCGATTTCCTGAACGCGGAAAGAGTCTGTTTCAGCCTTTAGGCTCAAGTTCTGATGAGCCGTCTCACCACACAGCCATACACTGTCTACAATACTGCCATGAACTAACCAATCCCAGCGGTCCCAGCCCGCCGGTCACCTCCCCTCCCCGCCCTGCTTCCCGCCGTTATACCTGCGGCTGACGGCGCGCGCCTCGCTGTCGGCGTCCGAGACGCCCTTCCGGACGGCCTCCTGGATGACTGCCACGTGCCGCTCGAGCGCCTGTGTTGGCCAGCTGGTGAGCAGCTGCTCGAGAAACTCGCAGCAGGCGCGCCGGATCTCGCGAGACTTGCTGCTTAGCTGGCCGGTGATGATGGGGATCAGGCGGGCGTAGTGCGTGTTCTGGATGATGAACCGGATGGCCACCACGCCCGATGTGGACATTACCTGATGGAGCAGAGGGGCATAAGTCATGCCTCCCGTGCAATGCCAGGAGCTTGAAACGGTCGCCGGAAGACAAGGGAGTCCTGCATCGAAACCAATATGCAATAATCAGCACCATGACCTTTAAGTCTGCCATTGTAATGATGCAGTTTTTCAGGAGATATAGAATATCAAACGGCATCAGACCTAATCCAACATATGAGCATATGCGCTGGCCGTATCAGCTCGCAGCTAGAAATCGATACCACACAATATCGTGTGAACAACTATAATGGCTGATCATAAGGACGATGGTTAACGAACCACGTACCTTGGCACTGTTTGGAATCAGCTCGATAAGGTAGGGCAGTAGCGAGAGACAGACGTGGTCCACCCGGTGGCCCAGCTGCTGGGAAAGATACGCGATGGTGATGCACCCTTCGCGTACCACTTGGGACCTGCGAACGCACAGCGGGCAGCGCGGGTTACAGCTCTGACACAGTCGTACCACACGGGGCACAACAGACAACAATCGTAAAACTAGATATACAGCTACGAAGTTTCGGAGATGCTTCAAACGTAAACGTCTTGAATTATCAAACGCACATACTTATAATCTCACAAAAACAAGGGCCCGGATTTACGTCGAGTTCCTTGTAGCAGCACGACAGAGAATTCTTAGAAACATGGAGCTGAGACGGAGTTCCCGGGGATGCCGATCTGCCGCCCAGCCGCCGATAATTCCTGGTCCCTGTCGCCCTGTCGAGTCGCGATCTACAGTCGTGAGGCATTACGGAGAGATTCTGAGCTGTTAGCTGTACTGTTCACACGCACGAACCCGAGCTGTACTGATAGCAATGAAATGTGTTCGTTTGTTCAACACAAGGAACTCAACACAAGGAACTCAACACACCGAGCATATGACATTCTGGACAGTGAGGTCATGTGTATCGGGTCGGTACCTGAGATCCTGGACAGTAAGCTGCAGCGCCGGCTCCATCAACCGCAGGTGCTGGTACAGCTCGTCGTAGTTGGTGCCGCCGGCGATCAGGATACTGCGCAGCTTCTTCAGCTGTGGACACAACAAGGCCCCATACTCAGCGGACATGGACGATGACTAATCTCAATGTCGTGTAACGTTCAGTATCACACGGGGACAAACACACAGCAGTTTCACCGGCCCCACGAGATGGTGTCTCGGTGCCCCTCCCTACAAATGGGGGTTATACCTTCACCGTGTCCAGTCCAATCCCGAGCTGCAACACGTCAACACGTCAATCAACACGTCAACAGCTGCAACACACACCCTCCACTCCCCAGCACACAGTGAGCCAGCCGCGCGGTGACCACCGCCACTCGGCACACCCCACTGCGACCCCACAGACGGCCCGCGCGGCGCCCACTCACCGCCTCGATACGCTTGTCCCACGGGTTGGACGGCTGGCTGACTGTCTCGCGTATCTTCACCATGTGGTCCTCCAGGTCCTTGTGAGAGTACAACGTCACCTTTGGCACGTCCTCGAAGGCGGAGATGAACATGGCCTCGTCTATGGCGCCGGCCGCTGAGGGCGAGGGAGTCACGACACGTCACTCGTCACACCCGGGAGAGAGGGGTAGGGGTAACAACGCGCCGGCGTACAATATCACAGCAATACCACGAAGTTCCGCTTGGCGGCCCTAAGTTCCTCTCATCATAACAAACATCCCAGGAACCTACTCGCGAATTTAAACCGCCATTTGCAACACCTGTCCACTTCATTTAGTGCAAGTCATCGGCTTGTAATCACTCAGGCGTTGCAATCAAAGTGATGTCATCCACACCTAATCACAATGCAAGAACGGAAGCTAATTAACCTGTCCCCTTTTCGCCGTCGACAGGAGGTGAATTGAGGTGGTACTCGCGGCACAACTGAGCCGGATACGACAAATAGCCACAGTATAGCGCAATTTGCCAACACTGAGACCGACACAAAGGCTGGAATAATGAGCTACAAAACGTCCCCACCATGGCAATTATCTAAACGGCAAGGATCCGACTCTGAGAGCAAATTATGACTGTTTATCACGTCCCGCCATCGTGCCGCAGCGATAAGAACGCTGATTATCACCAGGCACGGAGCTAATCGGGGAGTAGGAGGCCGCCGCGGAGACAAACTACGCACTCCAAAAATGAACAGCAGACAATTCTCAGAAAGGGGCGACACGACAGATAACCAAAATCCATTAGGAAGACTTATGGTAGTGACTTTAATCAACAAGAACTGATAAGTAGTACAATGCGACCCCAGTTTCACAAACCACTGAATTACCAGGTGACTCGGTTCGTTCAGCCGTGATTTCATCCCCGACCATTACCGTGAGCCCACTCACGGTGATCCATCACGCGGCCCGTGAAGACGTGCTATCTGGGCACGGACCATCACTCACGGGTCTCGGCTCCTTCCCACGGCGCCGCGGCCTGCCGACACGCGGCCACTTTCCACTTATCGCCGCGATATCCTCCCGTTTCTCTGGCGCACAGCGGCCTCCCGCCCGATCCCGAGCCGGACACCTAACAGCTACCGGGCCATCCGTCATCTCTAGTTACAACTAATGGCACTGGTCCGGCTTCAGCTCATCTACCAGCGAATGGTGTAGTTCAGTAAAATGCATCACTGCCACACTTTCACGGGCTGGTATGCGGTGAATCACTCATAACAAGCCACTCAGCGACTTAATAAAAATTCCTTACCACGAAAGACTTTTGATTTCGAGGTCGCGCCCTACGAAAAAAAAACTAATCGATTTTCGTTCCATGCCCTAGTCGTGCAGCATCTCCTGTCCCAATCGAGCTGCAGCCCCGCCGACAGCCCCTGACCCAGCCAAGCCGCAGCTCCTGTCTCGCCGGCTGCAGCGGCGCAGGACCGCCTCAAGGCCAGGCTGCAGCGGCGGGCGGACCATTGTATCGGCGCGGAGGAGGCGGCCCACTTCCGGCCTCTGTCCCCGGCCGGTGCAGGTACGACGCCGAGAGTCTGTCCCACCGCGCTGCTCCGGGGGACGCGTCACGCCACTCCCGCATCGTCACGGGACGCCGACAGGCCACCCAGCCATCCGCACTCCCCGGAGACCGGCGCCGGGGCCTGTCACTGCTCCTCCGCCGCCGGCCCGGTCACGCGATCCCGGAGACATATCCCTACTGCCGGCTACCACTCAGCCCTGCCAACAACACGCCACAACAACCGCGCGACACATACTCTCCCAACACACTCCTATTGATTAGCACCATACCCAAATACTAACGTGAAACCCTCACTTACCCCTTCCCATACTGACGTAGTCCTAAGACGGGATCGTTCACCATTTCAACACCAACGCGTGCTACTTGGCCTTGCTCATAACCTTCTTCCACGCAAACCATCCCTGCTCACACCGTCCGGCAGGCATCACCTTCAGGTGAAGGTGACTGCACCGCACACGCTCGCACACTCCCAAAATACACACTGCACGTGGTTCCCACTTACCAGCATTCCACCCATGCAGTCAGGCGTGCGTTCTGTGCGCCCACCCTGCGCAAAGCAATGCCGCACTGAGTGCATACATGAACGGCGCGTGTCCACCCACGCTGTACTGTAGTCAGCTCTGGTTAGCACAGCCAGTTAGCCCCCACCAGCACAGTGCCGCGGTGCCGGCGTAGGCGTACCCGCGCGTGCCGCCCCCTCGGCCTCACCTCGGTACATTCCGGTGCAGCGGGCCAACGGGCCCAGAGAGCGCCGGTCGCGCGCTGCCTACCTGTGCTCGAGGCGGACGACGTGGCCGACGGCTTTCGGGAGACGAGGGACGGCACCCGACGGACCCGGGCGGCGTCTGTACCGCCAGCGTCGGCAGGCGAACCAACAGGCACGGTTAGTGGCGGCCGGCAGCGGCACAGCATGCCCGGACGGCACGGACAGGCGGGCAGCGGCGGCGACAGGGCCGGCACCGCCGAGCCACCGACCAAACCATCGCCGATCGCAAGTCTCAGATAAACTCTCACCAATGACACTCAGAAGAACGGTCGAGAATCAGCTCGAGTATTAGTCCGATCGGTTGGTTGGTCGGTAGACGTCCGGCCCTGTCGCCGCCACGCTAACAAGTCAGGTCAATAAAGCCATACAGAGGTGCACTGCGACAAGAGTCAGAGTAATTATGTATACCGGTAAGCACGTTACGGGGGCATATGAGCAAGAGCATGTACCGCCCGCAGCCGGCGAGGGTTAATCCTGTTACAAGAGCCAGCCACGGCGGAAACAGACACGTGGGTAGTGACAACAGGGGCGAATTACTCTCCGGTTAGAACAAAACAAGCGGTGAAACGGACTAGTGGGCACCAAGACAGTGTTTGTAACAGGACCCTTGTCAGCTGGGAGCGACACAAACATCCTCAAACAAACGACAAACACAGGGCCACATCCCGAGGCAAATGAGCGACACGAGGGGACAAGGGAAGGGAACACTCCTACGAATGATGCACCTTATCAAACAGACGAGGCATCCAGCGAACTCTTTTGCCTGGTAGTACTGAATATGAAACGCTTATTCAACCGGCAAACGCTACAGCCCCCAAGCACGGTGCTTCTAACGAATCTCACTGCTGGCAACATAGATAGTTGTTCGGGAAAAATGTCCGTTTTAGTGCTGGACTGCAGTGGAAAACAGCCGGTACCGAGGCAGCACCGACTGCCCCCTAATAAGCTTACATCCTTTGGACGTCGAAGCCGTGTTGAACGAGGCTTTTAGCTACCGCATTGTGGTACCGACAGCGCGATAAGTCTCCCACACTAATCCGCGGCCGCTAAGTGCCTCAGTCGACGCACCACACGTGCAAACCGGCCGGCCATTGGTGCTCTGCCAGATGCCAGGTGCGCACTGAACCGCCGCCCATCGCAGCGCAAAAACCGTCCGGAGCACCTACCCTCTGCCGGCGGCCGCCGACTCCAAACAGTGTGCGTGAAGCGCCGGCGTCGCAGCCTCCCCTGCGGCCGCCGGTTTTTGTGCGGGGCGTCATTTCGCCGGCGGATAGCGGGACCGGGTCGCCGCCGGCGCGATGATGGGTCACACGTTCCCATTATCACCGGCACACGCACACGGGCCGGGACACGCGCGCACGCACCGGCGCGGGGCCGGCCGGCGGGCGGCTGGCGGGGCGGTAATCCCATTACCGGCGGCGACAGACGGACGGAGGGTGGCGCTGTTTACTCAGCGCCTCCCTCTCCGCTACCGCCAGCGATATACCACCGCCAGAGGGCGATTTACAGCGCCACCGGCACAGGGAGGACTTGACCGCCACACCGACGGCTGTCAGTGATCACCAGCACATACAACACGACCATTAGAGGGATCAACTTAGCAGCCAGCATATTACGCCTTGACTTTTCAGGCTGGTTTAGAGCCATGGAATGTAATCGACAGGTGCCAGGTGCCGACCAGACCGCGATGCAATCAGTTCGACAGCATCTGTCCCTGTCTTGTCGGGGTGATGGGCCGTCAGTTTACCTCATTGTCTCTCACTGGTGGCTCAGTAGCCCATTTGTCGGCTGTCTGCGGCCGGCCCGGGGGCTCCTCCTGGCCGACCCGGTGAATGGCGGCCCGCCTCCTCCGCTCCGATGGCCGGTGCTTATCTAACGCACATCGGCGGCCGCCCTTCCGGCGCCGCAGAGCGCGCGGCCGTTACTCCCTGCTCCCACTCGTTCAACACCTCCTCTGTGCCGGCTGAGCGGAGAACCGCAGACAGAAACGGGCAGAGAAAACGGCGAACAAGGCGTGTTATAGGAGCGGGAGAAAACGAGCAGGGTTATGCAGGCGCACCGCCAACCACAACTGCGCCGAGGTGAGGCCCAGCACAATGCATAACGGGCATGTAAAGCAGGTTGCATGGTAAATCCGGACAGGCCGATACACCAGATGGCGCAGATCCAATCAGTATTACACGGATCAGGCATAATGCGCGATAGCATGGTGCACAGAACACGTGGACTGGAAATCGGGCGCCGTATTTGGTGTTTGGGAGACTGAGCCGCTGAGGTCGTTTGCACGGCACTCTGGGCTCGCGTCACTGCCCCAGAGGCCAGCGTGTTCCGAGGAGCTGGGCACGCTCAGCACGCTCCCCTGTCGTATCACGCCACACGGTGGCCAGCTCAGCCAGGCAGCTGGACCCAACAAACAGCCTATCTGCTCATAAAACCGAACAGACACGCGAAGGGACAGCAGTTCCTAGATCGACGCGATGGGAAGCCCGTCCGAAAGCCAATAAGCTTCCGCGTTTATCCCGTATCTTCCAGCCACTGGACCACAAACTAATGACTCATTGAATACTAAGGCCTATCTTGCCTCAGATAAAATCAGCCGCAATGCTTCACTCGAACACAGCAACCCGGTTCCGATCTGAAAGGTCCCGTCCCAGCCGGGCCGACTGGCCGACTCTCCCTGCCCCGCAGCTATCTCAGGCGGTACAGAACATCGCGAGCTAGGAGTCGCTGCCGTCACCGGCTCAGACCGGTCACTATCCTGTCCACGGACCGGACATGTCAGTCCCCGCTGCTGGAACACCCCCGCACTGGGAAAACACTCCACCAGGAACAGCCACAAACGACACAATCCACGGAGTCCGACGGAGAACAGGGAAGAAATAAAAGCGAGCGTTGAAGAGGATGATGAAAGATGGCCGACGCGTAACGAAGCAGCAGAGGCAGAGAGCGAGGCGGGAGACGGCGTAAGCGACATCAGGCTCTTCTGTACACCGCAAACACACGCGTGGAAATGCAGCGGGAAAGCTGAGCGTGGGGCAGGAGGCTGTATTTACATACAGAAGCGGTTCGAGCCTAGCACTGGAAGCGAACTGGTTTGGCACACAGAGCCCCCTCCGCCGGTGGAGGCGGAGGGATACGGCAGACAGTTACCGGGTGTGCGGCGGTCGATGCTGGGCGACCTCGGGCGGGCCGCCCTGGGACGCAGGCCCGGCGCTGCGGACACAGGACGCGGCCACACTCGGTCAGCCCACGGCGGGGGACGCCGGCCAGCTCAGAGGCCCAGCCCGGTCCGTCCGGCAGCCCGGCAGCAGCAGCAGCGGCAGCCCCACACCAGCGGCACACACTCACACAGCTAACTCTACCGCCGCTCCACTCTGACAGCTCTGCGCCGCTCTCTAGAAGCATGCGTGGCGCGTGCGCGGGTCCCGGCGGGTCCTGTGTCGCCGACAGCACAGCTCACCACAGCAGGCTATAGCCAGTCAGCGCGCCCCGCCACACCCGCCCAGTACTACAGAGGCGTGGGAGCGCCCCCGAATTAAACAGGAATGTGGCTGGAATAGAGGACTAGGGATCGGGTGAGCTGGTTATTCTTGAAGCATTTTTAAGCCAGATATGCGGGATTAATAATGGGTGACCTCATCAAACCAATTAGTAATGTCCCATTTCATCCGAAAGTAATCCAACCGCTAACAATGTCAATACTTTCGAAACGAGACTGATCAGTGACTGGACCGGAGGACGTTGGGGGCAGGTGGCCGGTGTCAGCGGCGCCGACAGACAGTCAGCATCACTCACTGGTGGCGCCCGAGGGCAGCGTGCCGTTCGCGCCGGCCGCCTTCTGCGGCGGTACGCGGCGCACGGGCGGCGCGCTGGTAGACCTCGAGGCCGCCGACTTGACCTGCCGGCAGAGCGCGAGGTAACGGTCAGCAGCTGAGTCAGCCGGCCGGTCAGCGGGGCGGGGAGGGGGAGGGGGAGGGCTCCCGGCCGCCGCGGCGACAGAGCACGTCCCCTGACAGCGGCGCGCGCCCCGAGGTGTCACCGATCAGCGGCGACGTGAGTCATGCACAGCAGGGGGAGATCAAACGGTTCAGCCGACTCCAATCCGCTTTTAAAGCGACACCGACACGAACCCTACGACGGTCAAACATACGCTGGCAAATCCAGCTGACGAATTTGGCGGCGTTAGAGCGGTCTCACACTAAGACAGCATCGCACGGCGGGATAAGCGAAATGTCTGTCATGTCATCCATTTCACCATTACATGCATGGATTCATGAGATCGGCTGCACTGATCGAACCTGTAAACGGGCTGTTAACAGCGCTTAAAAATGATGATCAACCAAAGCGGCAGGGACCGTGGGTCATGATGCAAGCGGCGGGTGCGGACAACAATCAGACGGCCGGGCCTGATCTGGGACAGATACGGCCGCGGCAGTACCGCCGGCCGGCGCCGGGTCGCTGGCAGACGGCGCCGTGCGCCACGGCCGGCCAGTCATGGCACGAACTGCCCGCCGTGCACATTATATCGCGATCACGGCCGCCGAAAGGCGCCGGCCCGGCCGTCCCAGCAAAGTGGCATTTAAAAGCAAAGCGGCGTCATGAAGTGCTGGGACCAGGGGTCACATAGGAATACGCGGAAGAAAGCGTCTTTGTTACAAATAACACAAGTCACCTTAGAACCAAATAACTTTTCAGAGTTCATGCCCCGTGAAGTAATGCTTGGTCACGATTTGCTCTATCGACCTCAGACCCAATAACTGAAAAAGGGCAAGAAGGCTGCAACTTCAGAAAAAAATAAGAGAAAACAAAGCACAGGTGCAGCTTTCTATTCAATGTACAGATCGAACCCGGACATTGAACTACTCATATTTACAGCCACTAACCGCAGCCAAAACAATGAGTAATGAAGACATACCACAAACAGAGAAGGCCCCAGTCACTGTCGGGCGGAGGCTGGTGCCAGGGAGGAGACAATCGACAGAAAATACTAAACAAAAGTGGCGTGGGAGCGACGGCGCACAGCTGACCGGAATTGGCGCCTCGGAGGACGGGAGAGAAGAGGAGAGGGGAGGGGGAGGGGGAGAGGAATGCGGCCCAGCTGTCCACTTTCTCCGGCCGAACGCGCCGTATGACGTATCGGTCTCTAATCAGCGGCGTACACAGGAGGCGCATAGCCGCCCCGCGGACAGACACACGGCGCGGTGGACCGGCCGGCGGTCTCCGCTGGAGCGGTCACAGCGCCCAGTGTGCTCTCAGACACCGTGCGTGTGCACAGCAGACAGACTGGAGGTTGTTCAGAGTTCTCAGTCATCGCACACCCTCGCGTCTTTACGCGCGTAACAGAGCATCCCTCATCGGAAGTCAGTTCATCAACCGCACACGGTCACAGAAACAGTGCGGGGAGCAGGAACACTGCTCAGTCCGCATGCCATCAGATGCCAGTCCGCCCAAGCCCATTCCATCCAGTGGCCCAGGTCATAGGCCTCAGCACGAGATACCAAGCCAGCAGTTACCGCAGGTGCGGCATTCCGGCATCATTTGCCCAATACGGTGTCCACAAATATGTCAGCAGGTCGTCCGGTGACACTGGCTGGACGGGTCGGCTCCGGCCGCCGACCCGCAGCGGACGAGACCTGCCATATTTGTCCGCGGAATACCGACACCGGCCGGCGTCAGGGCCCGACATATTCCTGTTCGGCTGGGAGGCTGTGTTTGCAGACGGCACACAGTGCGCATCAATGCATCATCGTGTCGGCGCGGAGCGACACGTTCAGTAGCTGTCAGCGGGTCAGGTCACCTGACTCGGGCTGTTCGACCGACCGAACCCTGCCGAGCCAGGCCGGTCGTCCACGGCGAGCCGAGCCGACCGCGTCGGGCGGAGCAGTCACGCCACGGGACGCTATGTGACGCCGTACGTGACGCTCTGTGACGTCGGTGGCCTGATGTCACGTGACGGGACAGTGACACCCACAGCACGGCGCCCGGGCAGCGGTCGTCACCGAGCGGCGGTCACGAGCGCCGGTGAGCCGTGACCAAACCGGCCCCGTGATAACAAAACCCAACGGGGCTCCGTGACCCGTGAACACGGCGCAAAGTGGCACCGTTCGACACCGACTGTTTGGAATTCAAATTTAAACAGACAGCCGGAGAGACGAGCTGAGTTCGCGGAAGAACATACACCACTATTGACGATGAATATGATTAACTCGCACACACTGTCTGAAATACGTCTTTCGTAGCCAAACACAGCTTCACAGCGCTGCATCAGCCGCATAGCGATGCAATGATTATCTATCCAACGGGACACGTGTGCCGCTGTCCGCCCGCCGCATCCCGTTTCATTCCGTCTCCATCTGTGCCGACCCGTCGGCCGCGACCGCTCCACATTGCAGCAGCTCTGACCGGCCGGCCGGCGGCGGGCCCGCTCCTCAGCTCGGCGAATATCAATTAACCGGCCCGGCCCTCCGCGCGGCGCCGCCGGACGCACCGACCGGGCCCGGTCCATGCACAGTCGGCCGGGCCGGGCAGACAGGCGACCTGAGGAGGGCGCCGTCCGTCCGCCCGCCGCTAACGATCTCACACAGCGGGGAACAACTGGCGATCGGCGCGCGCCACCGATTTCGCAGTAAAAACTGGGTCCGTTCGCTACGACCGGGGGAGGGCGGAGGACGGGCAGACACTGCCGATCGCTCTGCTCTGCTCGGGACAGTCTGATTGTCTGGTCTACTTAGGCTGGGTCCAGGAACCAACCAACACGACTTGACCTGGTATTGAGCAGCATGCATTCTCTCAAGAACAGCACCTCCATGTTGCAAACGTGCAGAGAACCAGACGAGTAACGAAACATAATAGATGGTTGAAAACAAACGCCGCTAATAAGAAACAGTTACCGAGGTCACGATTGCAGCTATAACCATCCAGGGGGTTCTCGGCGCTCTACGTGATACCAGGTGGGACAAGAGGCCTCGACAACAGCACCACAGCGCCGCGCCGGCTGGTCGACCCCGGGGCTAACCGGACTCAATAGACAACAGTGTGGCTCTGCACACAATGACTTCATCCAATGGCGTCCAATCGGAGAGACGGGCGCTAAATGATCACAAACAAACAGCGTCTGGGTGCTGAGTAGACGCTGTGGCGTGGTGAAACGATCGACTGTCAGTACTGCTGAGAGGAGCGGACCGCGGGTCGGCCAGATAAGTGACTGAGACCAGAAGACCGAGCAACAAACACTGACGCGTCAGGTGCAGTTGAGACACGAAGGCTGGCTGGGTATTGTGATACAAGTTGCCAACAAATGACATTGCAAATAGCTTTGATACGTTCACACTACATACACAGCCTTTCTTGAGGGGGGCGAGGGTGGTAAACGGGAGGTGCTACCGGAACGTAACCAGACACCAGCACTGGGTCCTGGCCAAAAGCTGGTGCACCGTGCACAGCGAACCCAGCAACTGACACGAAGGTCAGCCAAAGTCGGCCATAGCCACGTACAGGTCGGCGGAACACGAGGGCCGGCCAACATCCACCCTCCGAGAAACTAGAGAGACGGGCGTGGGCGGGGCCGTCAGCGCTGCCCGCCAACACAACAAACAGTCGACCGACAGGTAAACTAGCTACTGTGCCCGGGCCGGCCGAACAGCCCCTGGTCGCGCACGGACGACTCGGCTACGGGAGCCCGTGGGGAGGGGAGGCGGTACCCTCGAGCACCCCTCTCCTTCATGACCTTGGCGTTCCACCCCGGCCGCCCGCCGCCGCCGACTCCGTCTCCAGCCAGGCTGTGCCACCGTCAGCAGCCATATACGAGTCGCGCTCAGCTGTAGCCATTGGCGGCGGTGTCTCATCCATTATCGTCCGACACGGGCGGGACGGGCGGCGCCGGCCCGCCTTCTGAGCGCGCCTCTCGCGCCCGTGTCACCGCCGCCGCTACCGTCCCCAGCCGTAAATCCCTGCTGCATGGCGCGGCCATTCGACGCGGCCGTCCGTACCTGTATGGTAATACACCCGCCACACATGGGGGTGGGAGGAGCGGGTGAAGATGCAGATAGCGGCAGACAGCACCATCTCTCTCCCTCCCCGTGCAGTGTATGAGCCGGGCCGGGCTGACGTGACCGGCCGCCGAGGCACGGTCTCTCAGCGGAGCCGGCCCGCCTCTGCCCGGTCATGTCTCCCGCCGAGCTGGTGGGCGCAGCGGGCGCCGCTGAGATGACCGCTGACCAATCGACCGTGACCGCTGACCTGGACACCGGGGCCGGTCACGGTGAGCTGTGGTTGCGGCCCGTCACACCCGTTAGTGTACGGCACCGCACCACCGACCAAACACACGTCAGCTACCGAGCCGGGATCGGTGGACAGACCAGAGTGGGATGAAATGGTTTTCAAATAATTCACGACAGCCCGAATAGGATAAAAGGGAATGTAGCGAGTCCCTAACCAACCATTTCAATGTAGCACCAGCCTGTTCCATTCAATAAGCGCACTGCCATCAAACCCATAGTCCTTCTGCCTCCCCCAGCTCCCTCTTCCGTGCCGGCACTCACCGCCATCCGGTCCACCTCATCCTCATCATCCCGTTTGGAGCCTGTGGACAGAAGGGGTCGGCAGTCACACACTGTGCAGGGGAGGGGAGGGGTTACATTTGGAGCCTGTGGACAGAAGGGGTCGGCAGTCACACACTGTGCAGGGGAGGGGAGGGGTTACATTTGGAGCCTATGGGCAGTCGACGGTCACACACTGTGCAGGGGGAGGGGTCCCGTTTGGAGCCTGCAGATATAAGAGGTCTGCGGTCACACACAGACCGAAGGAGGGGGAGGGACGGATGGCCCACATACGCAACACGCACCGCCCGGCAGAGACACGTCACACGCGCGAGACGCACCAATTGGAGGGGAGCGGTACCGGGACGTGACATAAGACGGTTGGGAAACACCGTGGATGTCATAAGCCATTAATTTGTTTGTCTGTGTCAATAGAGTTCCATGACGGGGCTCTTGCTGGTGACATGTACCGTAACGATCCCGCCTTTTCAAGGTGATGTGACGGGCACTAGACACTACCCAAAGCGCTGTGCGGTAAACCCATCCAGCGTTCAATCAAAATAAGACAGTATCACTGTGCCCAAACAAGCTTTACCCAGCATTCAGGGCATTTAAACTTCTTGCCGCAGTGGCCATATAAAGACTCTGACCAATTGAGTCAGCACGCACAGGTAACAGGCCACGCAACAAGCCGTAAATATTCCATTACGGCCGGCACATGGGCGACGGCTTTCATTCCGTCGGCAGCGGCGGCGGCGGCGGCGGCCTTGACAGAGCGGCGGCGCTCGGCGGGCCGCTGGGAGGGTGTGGCCGGCGGCCCGGCGGGGCCGATGGCACCCACCTACCCACCCAGCACTCCACACTCCACAGCGCCGCGCCGAGCGCCTCTCGAGCTGGGGCAGCCCGCAGCAGCCGCGTCACTGGACGGCGCCGACAGAGGCGGGATAGACGTCCAAACCTCAGGCCAGCGCTCCACAACACAGTCCACACTCCACAGTCGATGCAGCGGTCCACCGGTCATGGGGCGGTGTGAGGACACCGGGTCCAATCCGACCGGGCAGCGGGGACTGGTCGAGGGCTGGGCGGCGGCAGCTCCACACACTGATTAAAACCGGTCTGACGCGGACCTCGTTTCATCTCCCCAGCACAGCTCGCCGGAGCGGAGCCGTCCCGTCCAAAACCCACACATAACCGTGACTGGTATCCATAACCGTACTAATCGTAATGCCCCCTTCAGGAGGCTGAATTACAGACTGTGTGCAATGAGAATAAATAGCCTGCATTCTCCGCCGGGCGGATGCGGTGATTTTGGAGCGCGGCACCCATTATGCAGATCAGACGCGGAGATGACGAGATACGACCGTGATCTGTAGAACCTCCGCAAGATCCGGTACATCGCGCAGCGGAGAAGGGGAAATCCACACCTAGAGAATCACAACGTAACAGCCGTATTTCTAAATCCTAAGTCACTTGTTCTCTAGCATGATAACACAGCTGGATACACCACCGTCCGCTCGGCACGTTGGCAGTGCCGGGGTAATAAACCTGCCGTAACGGATCGGCCCCGGTGGCAGTACCGACAGTGACAGGTATGCCCAGTACCACCCGACGGCAGGCCAGGACACCAGTCAGAGGGGCACATCTGACATGGTGACAGGTGGGTCCAGCGCCGTCCGATGGCAGGTCAGGTCACCGCCCCCTCCACCAGCCGGCCGGAGGGACACCTCTGGTCGGTGACAGGTGGACCCTGTACCACCCGATGGCAGGTCGGGTCACCGCCCCATCCACCTACTAGCCGGAGAGGGTCGGCGCACCTCCGACCGGCACAGACGGCGGCCGACGCGAACGGCTCACTCAGCTGTCAGCCGACGACCGTCACTCGGCTGAATAAATGGCGAGAAACGACCGCCAGGCCAAATTGGCGGAACGTCACGCTTTTTGGAGGAGGTTGGCCGACCTCTAGTCGTCGGGCGGTCCAATGCGTTACATGTCGCTCGGTGGCGGGTAGAATATGACCTCTGAATATAGTCTCAGAGTGTCACCTGTATGCCAACAGCGGCGAGATACCGTTGGAGCGACACTAGCGGCAGCTCCGTCCGCCCGTTCCGCCCGTGTCTCCTGACCCTCCGGTCGGCTGCCGGCGTGACTCCGGCGGATGGGTGGAAGGTCACAGGACTCTCGTCAGCCGCCCGCCGGCCGTTCGTCGGCCACGAGGCCGGTATTTGCGGCTCGTCTGATGAAACCGCGCCCGGTCCGCGGCAGAGGGACGGTCACCGGTTGCCGGCAGGGTCAGAGAGGGTGTCACCACCCGGCGAGCCGGCCCGCTGGCTGCTCACCAGACGGGGCGGCACGTGCTCCGTCTCCGAGTGACGGGGAGCGGTGCGGCTGACAGGGGTACCCGCCCGAGGGAGGGAGGAAGGGGAGGCTGACTAAACGCAGGTGACTTGGCTCGGTTCGCCTCAGTTCGTTTGGCACAGAGCACAGCGGTCAATGCCAGGCCCAGAGATCGCCCTCTGTCTCCGCCATGTCCAAACACCGCGCTCCCACAGGTCAGGCCGTGTCGTCAGGTCAGCGCTCCGGCAGGGTGTCCGCCACACATCAGCCCACCGTGACACCGCTGCCGTGTGGTCTCTGATCGCTCCACATCGGTGGGTCGTGCCACCGTAAAGCGGCACGCGCCTCCGTGCCGGCCCATGAACTCTGCCCAAATGGACACGTGCTCAGGCAAGTGCTCTGTGCCGATTACAACCTGGCCGTGTGCCGCGTTAGGTCACGTTCTCTGTTCCGCTGTACTGCTCAGTGTTCAGAGTGAACAGCTAATACAAAGCCTGGTAACTGAGAGAGGCATGTCGTAGTTACAGGTCAGTGCGGCGAGTTCGATTGGCTGAAGTGACTGCGCGATATACGCAAAATTTCATTCACCATCCCAGGACATCCAGTATCCCACGAAAACCAGCGCCGCGAACACGCAACATAAGACCACACTGTATAAAATGACATGACCTCAAACCATACGTTTACGGCCTCGCTCTGACCGTGATGATAATTGACACCGGCAGTTACAGCAGCACTCATCGCAGCACGTATATTCCGAATTTCCCAATTGAACGACGGAAGCTGCGCACATGTTTCACGAGCACTGTCAAATGACAGTAGACCGAACGCCATGTCCGTACCAATCACAGTCGACATAAATACGCCGAGCCGCCGGGAGCACGGCCATTGGCGGCGCCGGTGCTCCATCTAAATCGGAGCCAACGACAACGTGGGAACGGTCGCCAAACTGACATCTCATTTCCGACAAATCGCCGCCGGTTCCCGGGCCGTGTGTCCATGTCCCGAAAGCAGGCGGAACCAATGGCCTGCTCTACGCGCGTCGCACGGCGCGGCGGCTGGCGCGGCGGTGGACGGCCCGGAGTGGCGGCACACACACACGGGGGCCGGCAGGACCAGCGGGCTATGACCAGTGCGTCACACCACACGCACCAACAGAGGGATCGGTGTGTGAGGCCGACAGAAGTGGATGGCTCTCCATTCTAGTCAGTTGGGCTTTTGCAGTGCTGTTTGCGGGTCGCATCAGCGGCACCACTGCCAACCGCTGAAACACATCGGCGCCGCGTTCCGCTTTTTATTTGGTCGATGACAGTGCACTGTCGGCCAGAGTACCCATTATGCGGCTGGGCCAACCCCAGCTGGAGGACATCCACCCTATGCACAAAACCGCCGTCCGTTTCGCGCGACATAAAGCACACCGACGCACACTGGTCGGAAACGCCCTCACGAGAGGCCACGGGCGATTCCGGAGTTTCGGATTATTTTTTATATAGATCGATTTGAAAATGATCAAATTATTATACTTAGGCCAAAAAAACTAATCCGGGTGACCAAAAATAGCTGTAATCAGCCCCCGAAGATGGGGTATCCCAGAACTCGGAAACTGACGCGGAGCAAGAGGTTTCTTGAGCCGGATATTCAAAGTCTTATTGCTGATAGACACCAAATTGAAATCCCACATATTATGCATCAAAATGTTCGTTATGAAGTTGCCGACTGGTTAGTGCAAAATTTTTGGTATACTTTTTCCCTAACTAAGATGTACTGTAGCTTTTTTATGAAGGCTCTCCTACAGTGATTCTGGAATATAACTGCAAAGTTTAGGTAAGGAAACAACAGGTAGTCCCATCTAGTTCCACTCTGATTTTTTGTGAGATGAAGTAGGATTTAAATTTACACCAGGGCAACATAAAAGCTAACTGCGCATATTTGCGCAAAATTTGCAGGAGCCGCTATTCCTACCCGACTACCGCCCGCCCCGCCCCAGTTTCGGCTCGGCCGCCGCGCCCGGCTTACGCTGACCTGTGTGGCCTGCACGCATCCATGCGTAGTTGACTGGACATTAAAAACAGATGCGCTTGAGTTTATGAATTTTGTGAAAAGCGCGTTTTATGTATGCATTTATGTATGTATTGACATCAAAAGCCTTCCACATTTTGCGTGGCGATTACGGCTTGCATTTAGAGAGCCTTGCTATTGACAACCATCACTCGGCTGAAGAAAGTGGAAATTGAAACCTTCGTGAATATAAGACGCTGCAAATATAGGACACCTGTCACTGACGTCGGGTTACCTTGGGCCGTCTTTTAACATTAGATCACAATTCCGGTATTTAACCCTGGCCGGACCGATTGGTTTTCTACATTGACCGGGGAGGGTTGGTACAACTCCCTCGCCGTTTCGCCTCTAATTGAGCTAGAGCCTCGCGGAAAAAAAACAAGCTTGTGTGCCGTTATAAGACGCAAAAATTAGGTACTACCGATTTTAAGGTCTTAGGTCAGCCAGTGACCTCTATAGGTCAGGTAAGTGCCACAAGGCACGGGCTCGGTTTTAGGTTAATTACTTTGCCAAAAATGGTCGCACTGCCGCGATTTTGGCATAATCGTGTTTGTCTAGCTCAGGCGCGTTGAATGCTATACTTCACAGGCCATTTTGCGTCCTTCGACGGCACAAGGGGGGGGGGGGGGTCGGTACGACCCCCCCTCGCGTT